TTAGCTTCTAGAACTGTATTCGATGTTGGTACATCGCTACAGAGTAACTATATCCACCCATGGTATTTGCAGCTGATTTAAATAATCAATTTTATGAACAATATGTTTCATATACTCCCGAGTAACAGGTATTGCTAATCCGAAACGTTTTACAAATGTGATCAAAATATAGTTTAATATTTTTGTCCATGAATGGAATAGATCAGATGATTTGGATTTTCGTAAATAAGAAGAAAGGAAGAAGGAGGATTTCCTAGAATGGGCGAAAATGTAGGTCAATCAATAGCTAATAATCATTATAAGCCGAAGAGTGGCTTCCCTAAAACGGGCAAAGCACATTATGTTGCATATACAAGAAGAAAGTATAAAGTTCATCCTCGTCACCATAGTACCCATTAGTTTTAGCAATTCCCTATTAGACACAATCGCATTAGTCAAACATTTTCATTACAAAACAACACATTTTTATCTGAATGTGTATATGTGTGTGTGTGTTTCAGACTAAATCAATAAAGCCAGTATTGGGTAGAGCTCGTATTTTACCGTTTTACAAAACTTATTCTTATTTGTGCAATTTTAAATTACTAGATACATTAAGTTCCAATTATGGATAAAATTGACAAATATAAGTATATTGTGGGGATTATTCAGGCAGACATCAAAACAAGATGAATATTTCATTTTAAATACAGTTAAACCTCGATACGCCGATCTATATTAGTAGTTCGTTTTAAACTTCCTTTATGCATGTGTCCATTTTTGTTTTTCTTCTAATGATCATATATGCCGTAGTTTTCGAGTATAGATCTAAAAGCATTCTCCTAAGCAGGACAAGTTGGTTTGTTTTTGGTTCGTTAGTTCGTCATAGCGAAGAATTTTACAACCCTGTCATTTGACAACTAGTCCAAAGGACACGTGATTGCAGTGGTCCTTGCGGCTTAAATATCAACAACAAAAAATCACAAAATTTAAAGTAGTAGGCCTTGAGAAAGTTATGACTGCCTTGTAGTGATGCAAATCCGAAATGTGTATCGATGTTATACATCGGAAACGAAAATCGCCATGACAAACATCAATGCAGCGATGTATCGAAAAACCTGACATCGATTTTTAATGAAAATGTTTAATTTCAAGGGAGAATAACATAGTGTCAAGCGGGCTCAACTCTTAATTTAAGAGTCTTAATTACCCAAAACCCACTGCTGTGCATATTACATTCGCAGAAAACGAGTACACCCCTTGGTTACGGGGTGTAAAAATAAACTAGGTGCTCATTTTGGCGTTTTGTAATTCAAAAATATATCCTATATTTAAAACGTTTCATAATTACAAAGTTTTCTTATATTCCATTCATATTCATATATTCATATTAATATTTTTAAAGAATATTAATTTGGAGAGCTGCCCTGGCAGCCGCTGAAATAAGCCTTTCGGAAAGCATAGAAGTCCCAAGTACAACAAGATACTCCTTGGCAGTATGATGCGCAGCAATGTCTGTAAAATCGTAAAAATCGATGGGAACATCGAATCTAAAAACATCGAATTAAAATCGAAAACAATCGCTAGCGTAAAAATCGATACATCGATGTATCGATGCATATTTACATCACTACTGCCTTGGCATACGAAATGTTGTTCATAAAAATCAGTTGCTATTTAGCCGCTGCCTGGCAAACAAGTCAGAACGGCCAGCAAAAATCATTTTATTTTAATTTAATTTTGAATTTCATTTAATTTTTGTTATGTTTTAATTATTTAAGTGTCTTGGGCTATTCTTTTTGGCATCTTTATCATCTGGCGAATGCGAATAACTTGACTTTCAGTTGTGTTTTTATATTAATTAAATTTCTATTTTATTTTTATTAGAAATATTTATTTTATGCATTGTACCTTGGGTATACATTTCATCTGTCTTATGTTTTAGATTGGTAGTATTATTTATAATTTTTTATTAACTTGTTATATCTTTTAATATGTTTTAAATTAACTTAAAAATGGGTTATCTAAAAAGAAGAACGCATTCCTGGGATAAAAATAATCTTTTCTTACATCTTTTGTTTTAAATTAACTTAAAATGGGTTATCTAAGAAGAAGAACGCATTCCTGGGATAAATATAATCATTTCTTATATCGCTTGTTTTAAATTAATTTAAAAATGGGTTATCTAAAAAGAAGAACGCATTCCTGGGATACAAATAATCATTTCTTACATCTTTTGTTTTAAATTAACTTAAAAATGGGTTATCTAAAAAGAAGAACGCATTCCTGGTATAAAAATAATCATTTCTGACATATTTTATTTTAAATTAACTTAAAAATGGGTTATCTAAGAAGAAGAACGCATTCCTGGGATAAATATAATCATTTCTTACATCTTTTGTTTTAAATTAACTTAAAAATGGGTTATCTAAAAAGGAGAACGCATTCCTGGTATAAAAATAATCATTTCTGACATCTTTTATTTTAAATTAACTTAAAAATGGGTTATCTAAGAAGAAGAACGCATTCCTGGGATACAAATAATCATTTCTTACATCTTTTGTCATCTTTCTTAATATGTTTTAAATTAACTTAAAAATGGGTTATCTAAAAAGAAGAACGCATTCCTGGTATAAAAATAATCATTTCTGACATCTTTTATTTTAAATTAACTTAAAAATGGGTTATCTAAGAAGAAGAACGCATTCCTGGGATAAATATAATCATTTCTGACATATTTTATTTTAAATTAACTTAAAAATGGGTTATCTAAGAAGAAGAACGCATTCCTGGGATACAAATAATCATTTCTGAAATATTTTATTTTAAATTAACTTAAAAATGGGTTATCTAAGAAGAAGAACGCATTCCTGGGATACAAATAATCATTTCTTACATCTTTTGTCATCTTTCTTAATATGTTTTAAATTAACTTAAAAATGGGTTATCTAAAAAGAAGAACGCATTCCTGGGATAAAAATAATCATTTCTGACATCTTTTATTTTAAATTAACTTAAAAATGGGTTATCTAAGAAGAAGAACGCATTCCTGGGATAAATATAATCATTTCTGACATCTTTTATTTTAAATTAACTTAAAAATGGGTTATCTAAGAAGAAGAACGCATTCCTGGGATAAATATAATCATTTCTGACATATTTTATTTTAAATTAACTTAAAAATGGGTTATCTAAGAAGAAGAACGCATTCCTGGGATACAAATAATCATTTCTTACATCTTTTGTCATCTTTCTTAATATGTTTTAAATTAACTTAAAAATGGGTTATCTAAAAAGAAGAACGCATTCCTGGTATAAAAATAATCATTTCTGACATCTTTTATTTTAAATTAACTTAAAAATGGGTTATCTAAGAAGAAGAACGCATTCCTGGGATACAAATAATCATTTCTGAAATTTTTTATTTTAAATTAACTTAAAAATGGGTTATCTAAGAAGAAGAACGCATTCCTGGGATACAAATAATCATTTCTTACATCTTTTGTCATCTTTCTTAATATGTTTTAAATTAACTTAAAAATGGGTTATCTAAAAAGAAGAACGCATTCCTGGTATAAAAATAATCATTTCTGACATCTTTTATTTTAAATTAACTTAAAAATGGGTTATCTAAGAAGAAGAACGCATTCCTGGGATAAATATAATCATTTCTGACATATTTTATTTTAAATTAACTTAAAAATGGGTTATCTAAGAAGAAGAACGCATTCCTGGGATACAAATAATCATTTCTGAAATATTTTATTTTAAATTAACTTAAAAATGGGTTATCTAAGAAGAAGAACGCATTCCTGGGATACAAATAATCATTTCTTACATCTTTTGTCATCTTTCTTAATATGTTTTAAATTAACTTAAAAATGGGTTATCTAAAAAGAAGAACGCATTCCTGGGATAAAAATAATCATTTCTGACATCTTTTATTTTAAATTAACTTAAAAATGGGTTATCTAAGAAGAAGAACGCATTCCTGGGATAAATATAATCATTTCTTACAGCGCTTGTTTTAAATTAACTCAAAAATGGGTTATCTAAAAAGAAGAACGCATTCCTGGGATACAAATAATCATTTCTTACATCTTTTGTAATCTTTTAACTTTTAAAAAGTTCTTTAATATGTGGATCAAATTGAAAACATAGCGAAAACAATATAAGAATGCAGAACTTTAAATATTTTGAAGTAAAAGAAACAATTTAAATAGACTTCTTTTTCTTTTAATGTAATAATGCATCTGAATACTGACTATCTGAATACTGACTATTTGAATACTCAACACGAAACAGAACAGAACCACTCGGTTTGTGAGAGGAATTGATTTAATTGATGAATTGATTGATTGAAAGGATTCAGTGAGGAGTTTTTGGCTCTATGGGCGGACATCTCTCGGGTCGTTCCCTTCATAATCTGTTTTTTGATCCTGGGCATGGGTATGCAGTATGGCGTCGCATTACGAAATCGAATCCATTTCCATGTCGCACAATTCGACACCTCTACACACAGAGCGGGCCACATACGAGTATGTATGTATGTACAAATATAGTACGTATTTATTAAGTAGGTAGGCGAGTACTTAGCACCGACACGCGCATTATCTTTTCGTGACAACGGACAACATAAACCACTTTGCGAACATTTTATGAGTGTGCAGCTGGAGAGTGGGCGGGAGCGTGATGGGCGTGGTGGGCGTGTCTGTAGAATATTCTCGGTTTATGCAAATAATGCGCGCAATATGTCATGAAGTTGCCGCCGCCTTCATCTCGGCCGACCAAAAACCACTACTGACAACTTTGATGAAGCGTCGTGGCGGTGACATGTCGCTGGTGGTTGTGTGGGTGGTTGTTGGGTGATGGAGCCCAGTTTGTGATGTGTCGGCACACATTTACACACAAAACAAAAAAAAAAAGAAAAAACGGAGAAGAGGGGGAAAGAATGCGTTGACACAAAATGTATAAAATGTATAAAATATTGGCTGTCTACGCATGGGAACAAAAACTGGGAATTCGATTTATATGCAAATGATATGCGGGCAATAAGGCAAACGGGAAGGTGTAGGTCCCCAACCACGTTGCCTCTTGCCATGGGCATTTTAATCATATTTATTAAGAATTTAATTACATATACGACATACATTCTTTATATATACACACACAGATATATATATCTATATATACTCTTAGATATGTATATGGGCAACCAAAACAACCCTCTTGCTTCCATTCGCATTAGCCCCTTAGGTGAAGTATTTTACGCCCGCTTCGTCATCGTCGCGCACATCATAGGAGCTGGGCTGGTACTTAGGCTTGCTGTAGCTGCAGGATGGACAGGAGCTGGGGGGCTCATATTCTGGTGCCTCCTCGGACTGCTCCTCTGACTCGTAGGCTGGCGGAGATGGCGGGGATGGTGGGGCTGGTGGTGCGTAAACGCAGCACGCTGGCGCAGCAGGTGGCGCCGGCGGCAGCTTCTTAAGCTTCTTGGGCAGCAGCTTCTTCAGCTTCTTGGCTATCTTGGCTGACTTTTTGGGCACCTCTTCTTCTTCGATTTTCTCCTCCTCCTCCTCTGGCTCGAGCTTCTTCTTTTCCAGTTTCATCTGCTTCTTCTCGTCGAACCACTCCTTCATTTTCTCCCACTCCTTCTCCAGTTTTTCCAGCTTAGCCTCCTTTTTGGCACCGAATAGGTCCAGAAAGTCCAGCTTCTTTATCAGCTCCTTCTGGTCCGGGTCCTCCATTTTGGGCAGTTTCATTAGAAATGCTTGAGCCGCGTGCAGCGCTGCGGATTCAATTATAATTATCACTTATATGGGTTAGTTGTGGATTTTGAACTTCTTAAACTCACCCATGCAGCCGACCAAGAGCAGCACCAGGTTTTGTCTACACAGTTGCATGTTGTCTTCGGTTGTATTCTCAGGTCTTGTCTTCGCTTGACTTGTGTCTAGAGTTCTCTGTTGTGGTCTGTGGCTTGCGGACGCTGCTTATAAACCCAAGCGTGGCTTGGCCCACGGGCACGTGCATGCCAAGCTCTGATAATCGTGAGGCAGAGCACGTGCTTCGTGCAGCTGTGTCCGCCAATCTCTCTTGACATAGTTTCTTGACTTAGACAAAGTTGGACATACCTAACTATGCGGTGCTTGGGCCCTCGATAACAGCCCCCAATGAAGACGACGAGCAAATAGCAGTTCAATGCACTGCACCAGTGTAGCAATCCAATCTAATCCAACTCTCCGCTCCACTCCCCCTAGACTTGGCCAGCCTGTCACTTTGATTAGTGAGTAAATTATTTTCCATGTGAATCCAATTCGCCCCCAAAAGCAATAATTCTCGCACACTTGCAGCAACAATTCCATTTGATTTTTATATGAGGGTGCGAAACTTTTTAGGGCCAACAAAATGGCGCAAGCTGGCACAAAATGGCAAACATTGGCACAGATTTTAATGACCCGCAACGAGTGTAATACCAACAGCAACAGCAATAGCATAGACTAAGGACAAAAGAGGAGCTCGCTGCTGCTCGTTGTTGGCGTTTGTTTGCAGCCAGGACCCTCATGCTAAAGGAGCTCTGCGCTAATTGACTTGACCGCTCGCCATTATTGCGCCGTCACCGCGCAGCTAACAGGGCCAAGTGGGCCGGGGGTGTGGCCGATGTGTTGAAAGTGGAAGTTAAATTGTGTTTGTTTAGTGCGCCTTTGCTGGACGATGGACTCTAGAAGCACCAGAGTCTGCAGCTGCTGCCTGTTGGACTCATGCGCTGGCTTGGAATCGAAATCGAGCTTCAGCTCCGGCTTCAGCTCGATGTAGACCTGGGCAGGAGTATATGCATATAGAAGTGTTTTCTTCATTTTGTTGCTGTATGTGTTGGCTGCTTGGGTTGCGGTTTGTTTGCTTGTGTGTTTGTTTGTTTGTTTATCTGCGGGTGTACGTGTGTGTGTGTGTGTGTGGGTGTGCGTGTTGCTATTTGTGTTAGACAAACAGTTTGCTAAATTAATTGCACACCAACTGCTATTTGCCATTATGTGTGTGTGTGTGTGCATGTCTTTGCGTGTTTATGAGTTTTTGTTTCACTCTGAACAATATTTGTTGTTCCTGTTGCTAGTTTATTGTCATAGCCAGAGATAGAGTTTAAGCTTAAATCATTCTTCATTTTTTCGAGGCAATGCGTCTATCGATCTCGATTGATATTGTAGTTATTGCCAATAGGATACAATTTCCCATTCGATTCGTATACATTAATATCTATCTATCTATCTATTTATATTTCTACTGTCAAAAATTTGCTTTGTATTTGTTTTGCTTGTATTAAATATTATTGTCGATTTTTTTCGATGTTATTTGATACGAAAATCAGCCACCGAACATACATAATTACATTTTAATAATTCTTTATTTTGAAAGCTGAAGCTCAGTTGAGAAATCGGTCTGTCTATCGATCAGGAGTTGTGTTTTAGGCAATGAATAGCTTAGTGTTATCTATTAATCGACTTATCTATCTGCTTATCTATCTGCCAATTCAACCAATACAGTTAATTATATTTTAAAGAAAGAAACAGGCTTTCATTTTTAGATAGATATTGTAAATTTAATCACTTTCCTACTTACATTTAATAAATTTAAGAAGCATTGTGTAATAATATTCTCACTTTACAGATAATCCCAACATAATGCCGATCTTCAATTTTTATAAAACCTGTTGACATTTATATAATTGCCACAATTAAAATCCATAAATGATGCAAAGTAGTTTATAGCTGCTGTTTCATTAATCGATGCATTAATGAATGTTAATTGCTGGTTAAAGCTTTTATGCATATAAATAATTAGTACAGTACATCTTCGATACGAAAACCCAATTATTGAAGATGTTCTTTTTTAACACTCTGAAGCTATATTGCTTAGTATGATTCAATAATAATATAAAAAGGGATTTCGTTTTCAAAATGTCACATTTGTGTTTGGAAATCAAATAATTTTTCTAATAAAACTACGCTTTCAGCTATAGCTGCTTGATTAAAACTTTTGTTGAATATTGAAATTTATTTGATATTTTATTTAATTTATAAAATTATAATATATATCTCACTTAGTTAATTGACTTACAATTTAAAATACTGAGTCACTACTCAAAAAAGCTGTTGAGCAATTAATGTGAAAACAGATTTTGGTACGGAATCAAAATATATTGAATACAATTGAAGGAACATGATAATAGCTGGCAATATATTCGTTATTTAGTTGCAAGCTTGCTAATTTTTTGTTTTAAATTTTATAGCACATGAATAATAAATTATTTGACAGAGCCCATTGACCTCGAATCGAGAAAACATTTTAGCAGTTCTGTTTAGTTTTCCTTCAATCCCCTCCAACATTTCTCCTTAGCTCTACACTCCACCTGCAAATCGTATTAATTGTGTAACATGAGTGTGCGTGCATAATTGGCGAATACTGTACTCTTCATTTTCTGCTGATATGGCAGTTTGTTTCGGTTAATTTACGAACTGTTTAATATTTATATGCGCCTCTGTCATCACCATTGCTATTGTCATAACTCATTCAATCTGGAAATCGTCACACAATAGACATCAGACTGCTCGACAGACAATTGTTATGAAAATGGAAACAATCATCGGTTTTTGTTTATCATTTTGAACAAATTTTATTATAGTTGGTCAACAAACATTACGTTACAAAAATAAATAAGTAAACATATTGTAGTTAGTATTAATTAAAAAAAAAAAGCTTAAATTTATCGTAGGCCCTGTGCGGGTATATCGTATATGGCATAGTACTCTCAGTCTCCCGATTACTGTCGGATGCGTTTATTGTCGATGTTGCCCAAACGGAGGGGCAGTCCTGGCAATGGTTCGAGCAATCCATTGGCACTCAATGCCACGATCTCATCGAATATGCTGGCATCGTCGCCAACACTGAGGTCTATGGGTGGAGTGAAGGGGGCTGGTGTTGTCGTTGTAGTCGTCGTTGTTGATGTCGTTGTCGTTGTGGTGGATGAGCGACGACGATTCTTTCTACCTTTGCGACCCTTGCGACCCCTCTTGTGCTTGCGCTTGTGCAGTGGCAGAGGTGCTCTCGGGAAGGCTCCTAGTGTGGTTGAGATAACTGGTATTGCTGTTGTTGTATTCAAGACTTCCGTAACTGTAACATTGAGTGGCGCAGTGCCGACTGTCGTTGTTGTTGGTGGTGGTGGTGCTGCTGTCGTCGATGTGGCAGCTATAGTTGTTGTGGTTGTTGGAGCAGGTGTTGTGGTTGTTTCCGGTGTCGCTGGCAGTGCTGTGGTTGACGTTGTTGTTGGTCCTGTTGTTGGCGCTATTGTAGATGTTGTCGTGCTGGTTGTTGTAGTTGGTACAGTTGTTGTCTCTGTTGTTGTTTCGGGTGCTAGAGTAGTTGTGGTTGTTGTTGTTGTTGGTGCTGCTGTTGTACTTGTTGTTGTGGTTGGTAAAGCGCTAGTTGTTGGTATCGTTGCTGCTTCTGTGGTTGTTGTTGAAGCCGGAGTGGTTGTTGTTATTGGCACTGCTGTAGTTGTTGTTGTTGTAGTAGTTGGCGCTGCTATTGTCGTTGTTGTTGGGGGAGCTTCGGTTGTTGCAGGAGCCACTGTTGTTGTCGTCGTTATTGCTGGTGCCGTTGTTGTGTCGACAGCAACTGTTGTTGTTGCTGCTGTCGTCGTTGTGGTGGTGGTGCTGGTTGTTGTTGGTGCTGTTGTTGTTGTTTCATTGCTCGCAATCCCCGCCTCGACCGCAGCTATTATCTCACTAACATTTATCGATATTGTCTCATTCACACGCGTCCCATTTGCGGACTCCACGGTGTTATTGGAGCTGACAATTGTGGCAATAAATGTCGAGTTCTGCGCCACGCACTGCTGGCAGACTGTGAATAAGCAGGAATAGAAATGCAAACAAAAATAACAAGCGAATCAATTAAAGCCCGACGACCACACAGCTCAACTAATTACCTAATGTTGTCACCACAACGAGCGCAATTAAATGTCTACGTGCCAACAACATCATCGTCTTGTTCATCATCATCATAATCATCATCAACAACGGAGTCGGAGTCGAAATCGAAATGGTTTCTGGCTCTGTGGTCGTCGCAGCCTTCCTTAATTAGCCTTTGGACTGTCGTCGTGCCTTGGTATTTCTGGACTGCCGCTAATGTTGCTGCCGATTCCGATTCCGATGCTGCTGCTGTTGCTGTTGCTCTATAAATTTTGTTAATTAAACTGATTTGCAAAATGATCAGCTGGCTCATTTTTATATCCATGTCCATACACACGTAGGCCGGAAACGTGTGGCCTGTACGTGAGTTTGGCAATTTGTTTATCATGTCTGCTGCTGATTTCGACGCGATCGAAATCAGTAACAATTGCTATCGCTGCGCTGCGCTGCTGCCGTTAACGCTTCTTCTGGTGCTGCTACTTCTTCTGATTATCTTGTCGGACCAGTCGCTGCACATTGTTTTTGTTGTCTTTCTTGACCTATGTAACCGGCACCAATAGCCGGAAATGTAGTACAGCAGTCAATGCCGGAAGCAATTCTGGAGCTCATTTGGTTCCGCCAATGGAGTCTAAGTGCTTGGCCTCTGCAAATTTCCATGCATTACCCCTTAAAGCCAATCGATAGATATTTATTTGAATAATAATAATAATAATAATAATAATAATACGTTTTGCAAACACTGACAAGTGCCATCACAACAATGGAAACTAATTAGCATTAATAGCCCGCATTAAATGGAATAGACCACGTTTGCTGGCGCCATTCAAATGAAAATCAACAAAAATATGCATCCAAAAAAGTCCTTTTAATTATTTACAAATACAATTTACGGTTTTATACTAACATTTTTTTTTTAGCTCGGTACAAATAATTTTAATTATTTAAATGGACGTGACGAAAAGTAAATGTGCGAGCTGCATTAAAACTAAGTATTTCCAACAACAACAACAACAACAACTTAGCCAAACACGAAACGTATATAAATCGATAAAGCGAAACGGAACATACTGGGTGCTCTGCACAGGCAGAGATGTAGAAAGAGACGGCACTAACAAAAACAATCAAACAAAAACACATTGCACTAAAAGACTATTCATTATGTATTATAAAAGTTGAAATAATTTTCATTTATAACAAAAAATATTGGCACACGATGGCCATAACTTTTAAAACGCCCCTATCATTTCAAATGCAGAAAAAGAGAGAGAGCTGTAGAAAGAGATGGCGATACATTAATACAAACACATTGCCATTCATAAAAGGCTATTCAATCCGCACTGAAAATGTTGAAATCATTTGAAAATACAGAGAATATACAAGTATGTAGTATATTGAAACATCATGAGAAGAAATCTTATAACTGCAAAATCCATTCAGCTGCAGTTGAATAAACTAAAAATAATACTTCTAGAAAGATATGGAGAACACATAGCACCCCATAAAAGACTTTTCATTCTGCAATAAAAAGAACAAATCAAATGCATTTTCAAAGAACATACTGATAGTTTTAATAACTTTGTAAACATTGGATAGCATTGATAAATAATTTCTACTTATTCCAAATCCAATTAGCGGAAATGCTTGGATTTAAAAACTTTTTGAACCTTTCGATGGATTTGCAAAACAATCGTGTCGTAAAATCTAAGCAGCTTAGAAAGCAAAAACAAAGCATTTGTTTTAATTTCGTTTGCTTAGAAAAGTTCTTGCATTTAGTCGAGATAATCGTAAGACTCAAAACTATTCCATTCCATATGTATGTGCATAAGTGTGTCTGTTTGAATGTGCGAGAATCTTATCTGCGCTTTAAATTGCTGACTACACAATTGACCCAGTCTCGAGTCTCAGCCACAATTGCACAATTTAACAATTTTTGTTGTTCAACACAATTGTCAAAACATGTAGAGCACGCTCCATGACGTCACAGCCGTACGTGCCAAACTACACCTCAAGCTGGAGAACATTTTCGTATATAAGTGGCACACTCTGTAGCCAAAGCAAACAGTTCGAATACTCGACGATAAGTTCTTCAACAACACCAATATGTTCAACAAAGCATTTGTAGCTGCCCTGATCTTGTGTGGTTCGTATATAGAATGAGGATCCAACAGGAAGGACATTCTAATCCAGGACTTTCTTCATTTTGTTTTTTTTTTTGTAGCCTGCTTCTTTGCGGCCATTAGCGCACGTCCTCAAGGGCTTCCACTTGGGGCAGGCAGTATCCTTTCCGGCGGGGCTAACCCTGTTGGCGGCTTGACTGGTGGCTTGACTAGCGGCGGCATAGTGCCTCCCGGATTGACCAGTGGTGTAGGCAGTGCGGTGGGCGGTGTGGCTGGAGGACTAGCAGCCCCAAAGCTAGTATAAGCAAGAAAATGTTTTAGAACAAGTTGTAAACAGCATGAGTTTGTAATTAATAAACCTGATGTGAATTCCATCGTATTGCAAAATATTTGGTACCACCAATATATATATGGATGTGTTTAGTTTCGAGCAAACACAAAACCGAGCTCAGTTCCTAAAAACGATATTGAGCCAGTCTAAAGAATTTGAAAACTAATTTGATTTGAATTGCCGGATCGATCATTCACTGAGCAAATGAAATTGTCTCGAAACCCCATACTGAGCTTAAGACCTTAAAGAGGTGTACTTGTTTTAAAGTCGACTCCATGACATTAAAGCAAAAGTAAATCTCTAACAATTCTTTAGTGGTTTTATGACACTAGTCCTAATAACCAGCTGGAAGACAACATGGACAGTCCAATTAGAAACAAAGCGCTACCAAAACAGGTATTCATTTTTGTGCTTGAAAATCCGATCACATTTGACCCGGGCTGTTTAAAAAAAACAACATTTTTATGTTTTTTAATACAAATCTTTATTATTATTTATTCCGAAGGCAATCAGAATGTACGCCTTTAGAACTTACTTAATCATCATCATCATCAGAGATGTGCCTTAGTTCCGTCTGCAAAATACTTTTTAAGGCCCCAATCGACATATGGCGCATTCTCCAGAGTGAATAATAGATCTTTGGAACAAAAACCAAAAGCAGCCAGGCGAATAAGTTTTTTGGGGTTTGGGGTTTTCGTAAAAGTGTGTCTTTTCTCGATTCAGACGAGATGTGTACAGCCTCTGCTATATGTCTAATGCCAATACGATTTTGGATTTTGATTTTGGATTTCGGTAGGACAGACTTCTCAACACGCTTTTAATTAACTTGAATATCTGAACTATAGACTTCAGATTTAGGCTTCAACCATGATCCATTACATGAACGAGATCTATGTATATTAGTATGTATAGGAAATTTGACTATAACTAGGGCAACTGCTGGCAATTCTTTGGTATTCTACACACTCGTCCTCGCACCATCGTTTGCCGATAGGTTCTGTAAGTCCAACTTGAGCTGAGCAATCAGTGCATGGACCTGAGCCACAAAATTTTTAATGAGCTCTCGTCGTGACGATGTCAGCGCTTGGGACTGTAACTGCGACTGTGGCGGGGACTGTGGCTCTGACTGGGCCGCGCATAAAACAGCAAGCACTACAAATATGGGAATTATTTTTAGTTTATAGATTTCGTCGTATACTTACGGCCCAGCACAATGAAAACGATGGCAAGTCTGGTGGGCATTTTGGAACTGATCCATGGGGTAGGGTTCCATTCCCTTAAATATCCATGGACCGCACAAATTGGACCAACTTTACGTGTTAGATTGGGTCAGTGAGGTCACGTAGGACTGATTTTGGGTGGACTAGAAATGCTATTGCTAGTGCAATATGTTTACAGCTTATTTCCATGCTAGTGGCGAAATGCACTAAGTCGTATTTTTTCAAAATTTGCTAATACTTTTTACATCAAATAGACATTTTTATTAAGCAATCATTGGCCATTTATATTCGATATACATGTATGTACATATGTGTTATTCAACTGTAAGCAAACGATTCATTGTTAGTGACGCCTTTGGTGACAGCTTAACCGACTAAGCCTGACCCGGAGAAGGCTGAAAGGAGGTCATAGTGTCAGCAAAATGAAAAAGCCAAAAATTACACCTAGACCCGTGTAAGCCAAGCAAACATTGCTGGGTAAGGGCTGGGAGTCGGAGTCGGAGTCAGGGAGCTGGGGAGCGAGCGTGAAAGAAAATGTGTTAAGAAAATCTTAACAAAATTTCTCACGTTTGCCATAATTACGAGCAAAATACGTGACATGTGTTTTGACTGCGAAATTTTCCATAAGCGGCAGCTGTTCGGTCGTCGCCATCGAGTCGACTTGGGTTCAACGTGGACCCGTTCCGGCCAAGCTCTGTTCTCTCTCCTGTGCTTCTCGGCTTTGTTAGCATAAGTATAAAACATATGAAAGGCAGTGTGCTGTCGCGCCGTGTGGTGCGGTGCTGTAAATGGTAATAATCCTAATAAAAATCTGTGTACAGCTAAAATATGTGCTCGATGCAGCCCCAAGCGTGGTCGTCGGTCGTCGGTCCTCGGTCCTCGGTCGTCATGTAATTCATAAAAATCTCTTGAACAAATGTTTGTGACTTTTGGTCGTGCGAAAGGCAACATTAACTCAGAGCCAGAGGATAAGAGTCGAGCATTTGAATAATTTAGGTGGCGAGCGAGTTGCATGCGTTCTTCTACACGACTCAAGCAAATTAAAGTCGCGCTTCTCCATCTAGTGTGGTCTGGCCGGGGCATTCACATCCCTGGCCATTTCGAGATTGAATTGCTGCCTGATTGACAGTTGACAGTTGAAATTGATTTGGCTGCGACGAACTCTCGGTGGTTGAAACAACAAACACATACGCGCTCGCTCGCATACACCAAATAGCACAAAAGCTACACTTATTAATCCCTAGAGTGCAGGCGTGCATAAGTATCGGGCAAATGGATAAGACATTTTTATGTGCACGACGACGACGACGATGGCGACGATGGCGACGGGGAGGACGAGAACGGGAAGGACAGGAGCGAGCAAAACGACGCAATGTTGGCAAAGGTGCGGCGGAGAAAGGATTTAGTAGCGATGCCACAGTCCACTATTTCCAATCCCATCCAACCCCACAAAGCGTTCCTATTTAATTAAGTTGTTGCTGCTTGTTTTGAGGGAGGGGGGAGGGGGGGGGGGGGGGGCGCAACGAACTCATCCAGTGGCGAGTACTGGCATATGGCGGGACTTCATCCATTCACTTGCCCAGTTGCCACATTTGCTTGACAGCTAATGAACGTGTGCCACTCTTTGTTTTGGCTAATCAGCAGACTCCCAGCCATGTGAGTGGCATGGCAAATGCATCCTTCCTTCGACCAGCCTTTTGGCCTTTTCCAAGCGAGATGGGATGCCCGCATGTCGAAAAATTGATGGCTGACGTTGCAACAAAGCTGCATTCAAGGCCCAAAATGAAACCAGAGCATAGTTGATTCTCCCACAAGAAGAACTATAAAGTTTTTAAATAGGAAAAATCTTAAGACAGCATTATTCCGAATAGATTTATGTGATCTATAGATATAGCGAACTTGTACATACTTTAGGTCTTTTCATTTTCCAATTCCAAATCACAATCTGAAACGAAAAATGAATATAAAAATAATAAAATTAAAGTTGAAAATCTGTAAAATGCTTTTACCTGCAATTGTGATTTAAAGCCGTTTTTATGTCAATATGTTGATATTAAAGTAATATTTTGCCGATGGTTTAATTTAAACGAATTTTTGCTCCGCCTTTACGGCTAAGATAAGTTCTACGTTGATTCGTGAGAGTCACAAATTCTTGCAACTGTTTCATTATTGAATGAATTGCCTCTGGCATTAGCTTATTAAGATCCAGCTTATATTTATCGATTTTTGTCTTTCGAGGGTCTCAGATAAAATTGGTTTCTTTACTGCTTAACTAATTGTATTTATGAATGAAGTGACCACTTCTCCACTTCTCTATTTTGTCCGTCTAAAGACAACTTTAAAATACTCGTAAAGTTTTTTAGAGCATCAAATATAATTCATAAATTATAGTTCTATAACAATTCCACAATATCACTTCTGTAAATGGCTCCATTAAAATAAATTCACTATAATAATGCATATTTTTTTTTCAGTTAAGCCTAAGGCCACATCGCTATAGCTTCAACTACCATAGCTTATCTGTAATTTTAATTACCTCTAAGCTGTATATAAATAAATAAGTAAAAATAAAAATGAAATATGCTATCTTTCGTCGCATAATGTCAACTATCTAGATGTTTCGTTTGATGCCATCCGCAATTTGTTTTCTTTGTAGACTTGTTGCGTCTACTAATCTATTGATACAAAATTTCCCATAAATAATGTCGAGAGCCCCAATTATTCATGATTAGTTATAAAAAGTTAATGGTAAGCTTTGCTTCCTAAGGTCTTAATGAGCTCATCTTACAAAACTGGTCAGCTTTCCAATAATCTAATATCCTCCACAAGCTTTCAGTTTTGCTTTCCATCAATAAATACTAATCAGAGCAAGATTTATCCATTGAAACACTCCGATATATTTGTGAATGCCAGCTGAAATTTTAAAAATATTTTTCAAACACACGTTGGCTCAGATCGGCATAATGTTGTGGCAAGGCAATAAATCACCACACAAATAATGAAGTAAAGGTATAGAAATATTTCAATTGCCCATAAAAATCGTAAACTATTAAGCTCCCCAGCAAAATTGTTTAAAATTCATTTCAAGATTGTATCAACTAGTGCTAATATTTTCTTTTTCTCTTGGTCTTTTCTTTTTGTGGAGAGCAATGAAATAGGAAAATGTGTATATTTATAATGAGACAGACAATGTACCATTCATTTAGTGACATTATTAAATAGAGTACACAGAAGATTTTGACGATTATTGGTATATGTATGAAGGGGAGTCTTCACATGAAGAAAACTTTTTGGACATCCTGCTCCCAGTGCTATTATCGCGACGTCTCTGCTGGCGATTTAGATTATAGCGCTGCGCCATTTGCCGCAACTCCACAGGCACCTCTTGCTCGGCCTCCTCTAGCAGACGTATCAGTTGGCTGGCTTTGGCCCAATCGTTCCGAGTGAAGTAGCTAATAGAGTTACCTGTACGGCCAGCGCGTCCGGTGCGTCCCACACGATGCACATACTCATCGATGTGGCGAGGAAAGTCAAAGTTGATGACATGGCTAGCCAGTTGAAGGCAAGTAGAAAGAAAATGGGGAAAATCGAATTTTAAACAAAGCTCTACTCACGTCACTTCCTCGATGTCCAGACCACGTGAAGCCAAGTCTGTGGCAATCAGCACCCGCACATAGCCCGAACGAATATCACTTAGGGCCTGGACACGTTCGTGCTGTTCCATAGCGCCATGTAGACAGGCATTGTGGTATTTGTTCAGCAGCAGCTCCAACGACAGATCGCTGGCACGAGCTTTGGTTTGGCAGAAGACGATTACTTTATCGGTGGACGCCATGCCACCTAAAAAGGCAACAAGCTGTGGGGTGAGTCACATCTGATAGTATAGTATGGCAGATGGGGATCAAAGGCTAAAGGATGTGATCAACCTACAGCGAAGCTCCATCCGCAATAAGCTTGGCTTACCAGGGGGAATTTGTCGTGGTCCTGGATCACGCACACGGTCTGCTTAACGCTGTGTGTGGTGGACAGATGCTGGGTACCAACACAAACTTGAATGGGATTGCGTGTGAGCATACGTGCTAGACGACGCACCTCCTGAGGCCATGTGGCCGATGTCATTACAGTCTGGTGAGTGGTACGCAAGGCTCTCAGGATCTTTTTAATTTGATGCTCGAAGCCCATATCGAGCATACGATCGGCCTCGTCCAGCACCAAGAACGTAACTCGACCAATATTAAGCTGATGGGAGTCCAGCATATCAATTAGACGACCGGGTGTACCGATAATAAAGTGTGCACTGCGGCTGTCTATCTGGGCGCGTCGATCGCCACCCCCCACAATGAGGACACTGAGAAAGCGGGAAACAACACATGCTTAAGTAATGGGGGTTAGCTTCTAAGTATATGCTTACTTACGAGCGCAATGAAGACGACTTAAAAGTCTGCATTTCCTTATCGATTTGCGCGGCCAGCTCGCGTGTAGGTACCAGCACCAGGACGTGGGGTCCAGGGCCGCTGCATACCCGTATTTGTCGCTCCGTTTGTATCAATGCTGGCAGCAAATAGGCCAGTGTTTTTCCAGTGCCCGTTTGCGCAACTCCTATTAGATCCAGGCCCTGCAAGAGTATGGGCCATGCCTGTGCCTGTATGGGCGTAGGACGCTCGAAGCGCTCACCCAGCAGTGTACTCCAGTTATTGCCGTACTGAGCAAAAGCCTGATCAAACAGCCAGATGGGTCGCGGTATAACTGGGTGCGGCTGCTGTTCATCATCCCCCCCATTCTGCGAGGATGCGCCCGGATTCAGGACAACACTCACCATCGTATTGTCATTCTCTGCACGCATGTCTATCACCGCCTGTTCGGTGAGTGCCGTCACCTCGGGTGCCTCATTATATACCGCTGGCTCCGTAGCTGGGGCACGAAGCACATCAGAACTCAAACGCGTGCGTGACGTTGCATTGGTATCCGTGGTGGACCGTCGAAAGGAGGGACTGCGCCAATTTGTGGCTGGCAGCTTACTGGATTGGGGCAGTGGCATGATCTGCTGGCCGCCGACAAAGTTTCCAGCACCGGGCGTATTATTCTTAATGATTTTGCGTATGTCGGCGATCGCGCTAACCACCTGCGTCTCCTCGCAACCCCGCACCGTCACTAGCAAGCGGTGGCGATCCAGATTAACGGATACTTTGTATTCGCGCTCGATGTGCGCGATGGTGCAGCCTCCACGTCCCAAAATGGGTCCAATGTCGTTACTGGAAATGTCTATGGACTTGCGGTACTGGAATGTCTCGGGCGATGGCAACGGCGGCGAGGATCTGGTCGCTAGTGGCAACAACGTTGACGACTCTACCGATCCTGTAGATTTGGCCTTCGGCTGTGATGTAAATACCATTTGCGACCGGCGTTTCTTGCACGCATTGCTTTGGGGTGCCGAGCCAAATGCCAGTTGGGCGACTGGTTCCATGCTAGGTCGCTTCTGAGCCAGGCCTTCCTTGATAGACTTGTTGTTCGGTGGAGTTGCGGTGACCCACAGATTATCCTTACTTTGACGCCGCCAGCTAATGGGCCCTTTCGGGCTATTCTTTGTGGTCCTAGTCTCGACCGAACGCAGCAGATTGCGTGAATTGTTGCTGTTGTAGTAGGAACGGGTTTTGATTGGACGACGCAACATATCGACGGAGCACAGATCAATTTCCGACTCAGATGTGATCGCGGAGGACATAATAGGGGACAGTAGCGGACAGCACAAAAACTACGATTCACGGATAATTTGATGGCACGTTGACGGTCCACTGCACCGGCAATGGAGGCGATAACTAAATCAAAACAATAATAATGTTCAAGGATACTGTGTACGGCGCACGGGTTCTGTCTGAGTGGGTCACGAGACTTGTACGTTGTAAGTCCGAAATTGTATACAATAGCTTTTTCTTTTTTGCTAAGTAAGTGTCGTTTTCGATTGAAGCCAAAGCCAGAGCCTACTAAGCACAGTAACGCCCTGAAATTTATGGGATGTATATTAGCAGAGTGTTTTTATTGAAAACTGTCCATCGTGGACAATCATTAAATTTGTTAAAAAAATCAAATTAACGATTAATTATTTCATTTATGATGATGTTGTAGTATCTGGCTAGTCCCTGGGGAGGTCCAGAGGATTGGTCCTGAGCAGCCTCCTGGTCCGTTCGTTGTTGTCCAGCAGGTTGATCGTCAAATTGTTGGGGTGGTCGTGTAGCCAACGCCCTAAAATAAAAATATTGTGGAGTAAATCATTTCGGGAATATATTTACCTAAAATTAACAGCAAAGACGGAAAAAATCAATTACTTAAGCCTTTTTTACTTATTGGACTATAATCGTATAGCATTTACAACAGTCGAGAATATGGATTATATATGACTCGATTTATGTTACCATTCTTCAATTCTTGTTTTGGCGCCACATCACAATGGCCAACAACAACAACAAATCTCAGCTAACAATGCAAACGAAAGCTGCTGTATATATTGATTTCTTTGAGAAATCTGAAGTTCATGTAATAAGAAAACTGAATCATCCAACGAACAAGGAGGAAAAACTTTGCCCACTGAAGGCCACAAAAGCATTTTCAACTCAAAAAGAGAAGTATTGTATTCCCCAATGTGCAGGTAATAGACCGTAGCAAGCCTAACAACAACAACAACAACAACAAGAAATGGCATCAGCAATACGAGTACGAGAAATGGGAAAGAGGGTGAATGTGGATGCCATGAATACGAGTATTGCTGGTGTGGGTTTTTAAGATGCGTTCTGTGTATGTGTATGGAAAATTAAATTCAATTGTGTGACAAGTTAATCCTATTTCTCATCTCCCAACTTTTATTTAAGCTTCATTCTTTATGCATTACAAACGTGTTCTGGGTTGGGAGTCGGAGATGTACAGAAACATGAATAGATGGAGCAACATGGCAGGCAGGCAGGCAGGCAGGCAAGCAGTCTGCAGTTAGGGAGGCAGCGAGTCAATCAATCAGTCATTCCTTTGCTCCGTCAGGCAGTTTGGCAGTCAGTCAGTCATAGGCTGTCACAAATTTTTGATATGCTGCTTGCTGCCGGCCTGCCCTTAGCTGTTTTGGCTGGTTGTTGCCTTGTGGAAAGGTTGCTCTGACCCAAAAGTGAAAGCGAAGGGTTGCCTAAAAGCTGCTCCCGTTGGGGTTGGCCTGGCCTGCCCTGGCCTGGCAATTTGTTGCCGCTATGCCGGCAACACTTCATTAAACGCATAAAGCAATAAAATGTGCTCTTGATGTGCAAAACAAAGAGCCCGAAGCCATGTCGGGGCGCACGCCCTTCACCCATCACCCATCGCCCATCAGCCGTCACCCATAACCACTGTTCTTGCCTCTGACTGCCTGACAGCTTGACACTGCCGGCTGCTAATAGCAAGTGGAAGACCACATAATGCTCACATATGCCACGTGACTGGCTGGCTGACTGACTATATGCCGTGACTTCAGAATCAACGTCAGAGTTGGAGTCGAAGTCAGAAGCGGAATCAGATCGGTTTCATCTTTGCTTGCGGCTACAGCTGCTGTCAAAATGTTGATACACGTTTGGGGTAACAGGTGCCTGTGGGTGCATTGTTGTCGATAAATCGATACATGTTTATAGCAGACCTGTTCCCATTTCGATTTTTTTTTTAAAGCGAGAAGAAAGCGTACTTTGTGGAACTCAAATCTGCAGCCAGTGACTTGTCTCTATGGAGCGAATCATTTCCTATAACGTCAACCCCCTCGGCTTGCTTGCTGGCGTATCTATCCCTGGATAGTGCCATCCTCCTACCCATCCACTAAAGTGCACTTTTCCACTTACACAGAATCAATAACAATTACTCCTTGTTGCTCGACTTCCTTCTTTTCTATCTCAATTACTGCCATTCCCCCTCCTGCTAAGTGACACACCCACACATACGAGCATAGTATATGCGCCCCCCTTGTCACGCCCGAATATGCGTATATAATTATATGGAGAGGGCATGAGTTTCAATATAATACAGTACCACTTTTTATGCGTCGGCTAGAGTCAGAGCGCTCCACTGAGCGGCGGCCACAGACAGGACACAGGCCCCATCATTCCATTCACAACTCATCGTCATTATCAGCATTGGCTGCTTCGTCATCATCGTCGACGACAGCCGCATTGTCAACTCATGCAGCGGCCTAAGCCGGAGCCAGAAGCCTAGTAGCCCGAAGCCACCCCTTGGACAGAGGTAGCATTGAAACAGACAATGGGGAACAGAGCTGAGATGTATCTTTATTACAGTAATTGCTCATTGAACAGGAAATTATTTCATGCGCGCCCGCTCGCGTCCGCAATGGCGACACGGCGGCTGTTGGTCTGAAATAAACAACAACAAAAAGCAAAATAATAATAATAATAATACATAATCGCAGTAATGATGAGGCCGACAGGAGAGTTAATTCCAGACAACGGCAACTGTTGACCATGTGCAGATAGATAGATAGACCATGGGTGGGTGGGTGTTGTAAATTGGAAATCGATGCAGCTACGAAAATAGAGCGACAAACGCAAATGTGTGGTGTGTAACAACAGTCGGGAAGGTATTCAAAAACGGAGACTACTCGTACACGCACAACTCATCCCCTACACTCTGCGATCATGGCGATCACGGCGATCACGGCGACCATCGTCAGAGCGTTGGCATCATTAGGTGGCCCAAGAGCATCTGCTCGCGTGTATCGCCACTGCCGTTTTGGGCACCCATTGCCGGCGGTAGACGACCGCTCCACACGAACAGACCATCGCCACCGCCCACATCCAGATGGGCGTTGTGCAGCTGTACATGTTCGTTAAAGTTCTGGATGAAGGCATCGATGCCATGGTTCTGATTGAAGTGTGCGGCCCGCATTGTCTGCAACTGCTGCTCCTGTCGCTGTTGCAGCTCCTCCAGCTGCTCCTGCTCCAGTTGCACCTGCTCCTGCAGCCGCTGCTCCAACTGCTGTTGGTGGATTATAAAGCGCTGTGCTTGGTTTTGGCGTGGCCGAAAGGGATTCATGCTACCGAAATTTAGTAAATGGCGAAAAAAAAATACCTGAAAAACAAACAACTTTCGTTTAATTTCAAAATAACGAAATCAACTTTGAGTTTGTGACACAAAGGCATAAATAAAATCTTCGAGAAGACAACAGTTCCCAGGCCTGTTTGCCAGGACCCAACAATGTCAAACGAAACAATTGGACTCCCAGCAGATTAAACAGATGGATGCGAAACCTTTACTCTAGCTTCGAAATTACATGAATTGTTTGTGTATAATGAATTGGAAAACTTAAAATATGCATTTGTCAGCGAGAAGTATCTAGAGAGTATCTACCCATGAGTCTAATGAAACCATAAAGGCAAAAATTCAAAATTGGGTTTTCAGCCGTTTGGCAAAAAAGCAAAGCAAATGCAAAGCGCTTAGAAATGTTTTATTATTGTTCTTGTTGTTCATTATTGACAATATTAACTTGATAGAACACGTTTCTGGATTATCAGCGAATGGCTATATTTTTAGTTATAAAAGGTTGCCAGAAGAGGAGAAACCTCTGGCACTATCTCATGTCCAATAATCACGACTCATGCATAAATAAAACTACTTAAATAATTACTTTAAATATTAAATAGTTAAATAGTTAAATATTATTTAACTACTACTCAAATAATTAGGTATTTCCATGCCTTATTTTAGGATCAAGCACTTCAAACAAGTATTATCTAACTCAGCCAACTATTGACACCATTCGTAATTGGTTTTAGAACGAAAACTTTTGTTTTTGTATTCAGCTGCAAAACAATCCTCATCTACTTTATCTACCACTTTTGGTACAAATATGTATTTTGGCAACAATTTGAGTTTAGGGGTGTGAGGCTCCGCTTGCAGAACGAGTTTGGACTATTTTTCTAATTAAGGGTTTACTATTAGGTCGATTATACTTAGATATTTATTGAAAATGTTCAACAAGCTTTAAGTGATTGGGAAGGGAGAAGAAGGAGGGAGGAGCCTTATTTCAATTTATAAGTTTTTTATAATACAAGTAATTGTTTTTAGATTTTACAACAAAGTCTGTTATATTTCGATCTGCGGATTACACTAGACCTATATGCTTAATAATTACATACTTGTGTCATCTGCATATTGAAATTTAAAGAATTTTGTCTATATCAGTATTTATTATTCCAGTCCATATGAGTTTTCTACATGTTGTTCTATGTTGGTTGGGGACATCAATTAAGGTGCTTCGTTCTTTGGCCTCTCACTTATATTTTGTTAAAGTCAAAAAATTCGGGCTTACGCGCTGCCTCGTCTCGGCCCAGAATCAGAGACAGCATTTGTTTAATTTAGCAAATAATAGTTCGTATAGTGCTATCATTAATATTTTGTCAATATTACTTTGTAATAAATTTGTTTATTTTAAAAATGAATAGTTCGTATAGTGCTATCATTAATATTTTGTCAAAGTCAATTACTTTGTAAATATGTACGTATCTGCTTGCTGCGACTAAATTGGTTGGGGACATCAATTAAGGTGCCTCGTTCTTTGGCCGTTCACTAATATTTTGTTAAAGACAAAAACTTCGGGTTGCTCGCTGCCTCGTCTCGGCCCAGAATCAGCATCAGAGACAGAGACAGAAGTCTGCCAGAGTCAGCCCGTAGGCCTTAATCAAAATGCGCACACTTGATGCATATTTAATTAAACTTTCACCTTTTTTGTAAAGCAGTTGTAAAGCAGCACATTTCAGAAAAACAAGTCAAAAGCACTTCACGCACACACTGCCCCCACTACTCCCCACTCCCACTGCTACACTAAACACACGCACACACACCTACACACACTCACCCATACACCCACACACGCACACACCGTTGTTGATGCGTCGTCTGCAAAACATGTCGTCGTCGTCGTCGTCGTCAGCCTCATCACCCGCACCAGCTAAGCAACAAAACCTAAAATGCTTAAAAGCAAAACGACAAGCTTCAATTAAATCAGTTTTAATTAATGCAAAATGCGACTTTGAAAAGAGACGACGACACAAACCAGACACTGCCAAGGCAGGGGGGGGGGCAGGCGGCGGGAAGGCAACTTACAAATGACTTTAGTGAAAATGCAGGCAACATGAAAAACAGCAGAGCCACCCTGAGGGAGTGCCTGCCGCCCAACCCAATCACCCAGCCACCCAATTGCTCCAACCCTAAGCTCGGCACGGAACCACTCCGCACCGCACCGCACCGCACCGCCACCAGCCCCATGACGACCGCCCGACGTTTTGTTGTCGCATAATTACAACTCAATTGTAATCCAATTTTGGCAGTAAGGCATATAAATCGGATTTTGGTGTGACAAGCTGTGGCCACGCCCACACCTATTACCATTTCCATGCATGCGGATCATCGTTCGGAAGGTGAGCGATTTATATACTACCAGTTGGCCATGTTGGCCATTCAGAGACTGAGAAGCTATCTGACTGTCTGACTCTACGGCTCTCCGACTGTCTGACTGGTGTCTGTGTCAACTTTTTTGGTGTCAAATAAATAAACTTTTGACAGTTGTCAGACAGAACATCGGGCTGGCGGGAACGAGGTAGAGCTCCACACAACTCAACAACATATTCACACACACACACACACACACACACACGCACTCACTCGAAACATTTTGTGTCGGAAATGTAAATTAGTCGTCATTCCTCATCCTCGTCCGTCTGAGTAGCTGTCAGTGAGAAAAATTGTTGCATAGCTTTGGGGCGTGAAGTACGAAAATCAATGCAGTGGCAGCCTTAAGATTAGTCCTGGACCAAACAGCTCTTACACCTGTAAAGGCACTCCAGCCTTTGTCTAAAAGGCAGCTTTTAATTTGTATTCTAAATCAAATCTAATCTAATCATTTGTTGATGCTCTAGAAAACTTTTACAGCCTTGGGCAGCAGAGCTAACTTCAATAGAATCGATAAACATTTCTGTACCGGCCAAGCGAGGAAAGAGTATTTGGAATTATCTCGTTTGGACTAGAAATCTGAAAAGTATAGCTTAAAATCTGACTTCAGTTTTTCCATACATGTTAAGAGTAAGGACTTGTCCTTGACTAGACTGGAGTGTAAAACCAAAATGTAGTCGTAAAACACGTTCATACAGACAAATAGAGAGCGAAAAGCCTGTTCTATCGACTCGGCTACTTCTTTTGGTTATTGTTCGTAAAGCTACTTAGAAATACAGGTTCATACAGACAGACAGGTTGATATTCTTTTCATTTGGTCAATTGAACGTTTCAAATACTCCAATATAGCAGTTGGTACCCACCTGTATATATCGCTGTTTGCAATGCCAATATTGGAGTAAGTCTAGTGCCGGAACAGATTCGAGTCGAGTGGCAACTGAAATTTTGGACCAAGAGAGCTGAATTTAAATTGAAGATCATCCGTAATTCCTGAAAAGAAACACACAACAACAACGGTTAACTAAATGATATGAAATGCTTATTAAATAATTGTGTTAAATTTCTGGCAAACAGTAAAGCAGACCATTAAGGCGCTACAAGTATTGACCACAGAATGTATTTTTTTTTTTGGTTTTCACGCCTCACTTACAAAGTTTTGTTGGCGGTATTGGGTTAACTGGCAACGGCCGGCCAACTGCTGCCTACAAATATAAAAATCAGATGAAGCACATCTTGATAACTAGAAATTAGTTGCACATGTTCCACGCAGCTCCTTCGGCCGGCAACTCAAAACAAGATGTGTTTGCACTAATTTGGCCAAAATAAACAGCTGCGTGTACATGTGCCAGTCTTGTGTGGACGGATGGATGCGTGGATGGATAGATGGGTGGATGGATGGATGGATGGATGGTTGGGGATCGAGGTGGTTGGCTGAAGAAAACTCATCATAACTTTCTTATCAAAAACTTATGCCAAGCCATGAGCTGCCCACACACACACACAGACACACACATATACACACACACATATGTAGAGTAAAAGAAGGCAGAAAAATTGCCCAGAAACTTGTTATAATTACATAGCCGAGGCGCATATTCTATTCGTGTGCGTGCGTGTGTGCGTGTGTGTGTGTGTGTGTGTGGCAACTGAAACTAAGTTAGCAGGCTGGCGAACTGTTGGACTGACTGTTTCCTCGCCTCACTGTCTCCGGCCGAGCTTAACATGCATGAAGAGTAACATATGTTGGACTTTTGTGCAAAACTTTGAGAGTTTTCTGTGCAGCTCTCCGGCCGCCTTACTGTCCCTACTGTCTTCGAAAGCAACTACAACTACCACTCCCAACATACATACATACATATAGATAAACCTGCACACTGTGTATATATAAATGTTTGTGTGCATCATGGCAAATAGCTCCAAACAGCGGCGCGATTAGACACCCAGCCAGCCATCCAGCCAGCCAGCCAGCCAGCCAGCCAGCCAGCCATTGGTGGAGTGTGGAATGTGTGCGTTTTGTGGTTGGGTAAACGCACATTTAGGCACAGAATGCAACAGCTGCGACACATGACTCCTCCATTAATGCTTTTCCCCTCCCACTGCCCCTTCCCTCCTACCCACAACACACTTGGCCAGAAGCCGGCGCTGCTCAGTCAAGGATGAACGCCACAGTTGAAGGAGTTGTTGCTTTGCCAACCAAGTGTGCTAACTATTTATACCCAAGTATATGGCAGTAATATTAATAATAATAACAATTACGTTCAACACAAAACACTTACTTGTACTCCTAACTGCTTGTAGATGACAACTTTATTAATACTTTTTGCAATTGGCACGACTTCAATCAAGACATCAATTATTTATTGACTATTTTTTAATTTTTATACTCAAAAGTTTCTTTCGTTAGTCATTCGTTTAATAAATTAATCTATTTTGAAACAGTATTTAAGCAGCTAACCAGGCTTTCCCAAAAATAATAAGCAAAAGTCACGGAAGAGTTATGAAGAAAATCTAATGGATACTGAAATGAAAGTATTTGGGTTTTGTCTGAATCGGCTCTACTTTTGTTGAGGATTGAAAATAATATCTTTTATAACAGAGCGTCACTTCAATACTTTCTGATTTGCAAAATTAAATGAGCATTCATTCATTGAGTGTTATTTTTATTTTAAAGCTTATGTTATAAGTCTAAACGTTTCTAAGTATAGTTAGCAAGAAGCTAGAATTCTAAACTGTTTTGTATGCTCATATCTAAAATTGTGCGGAATAGAAAACTCGAATTGATGATTAAGGGAAAACAGCAGCTGATTATATATATATATATTTTGAGAAATCATGAAAACAATCTCATATGCATTTTACGATCAGGCGTTCAATCAGCGCCTCGACTATTTCTCACTTATTTGTTGACTGATTGCAATAAAATAGCTCCCAGCTGAACACACACTACGAGTAGGACCTTCTCTAAATAAGAATTAAACGACAAGTTAAGCTATCAGGATTGTCCTTGCTGCCATATGATGCCAATAAACCAACCAGCAATGCCGGCAACTCGATTTTCTTTTACTGCCAACCTAATATGAAAATAACAACCGTCAATATTTGACAGCAGAAAAAAAGAACACAACCATAAAAAAAAACAAGAGAGGGAACAACTTGCAAGAAAGCCCTCACGTGAGGGGCCCAAACAATTTGACATACGGCGACAAAGTAAGAGCAAAGAAAAAACTAACAACTTTTTCCAAACTTTACGCGACACAGCCGCCAGCGTCATCGTCATCGTCCGCGTCCGCGTCGTCCTCGTCGACCTCGTCGCCATCTTCATCTTCATTATCATCATCTTCATCATCGTTGTGCTGGAAATTGTTGGTGTTGCTGTTACTGCCGGAAAATATGCCTAAAAATGGCTTGCCGAAAATAAATATGGCAACAAAATGTGAGTAGGAGGCGGCCATGGCGATGCCGACGACGACGACGACGACAAAGAAGAAAAAGCAGGGCTAAGGCATGTGCGAGCCAAGAGCCATGGATGGGCTCTGTCGCGTAAGTCTGGTCCTGGCCACATGTGCTTCCATATGCGGAACACGTACTTGCGCTATAATTATTTCGTACGTGAGCATTGTGCTCAACTTGGCGCCAAGCCGAGACGAGACGAGACGAACCGAGCCCTAAACGAACCATACCGAGCCGGCGAGCCAAAGACAAAGACAATGCGAGCAACTACCTCCAGCAGCAGCAGCAGCTGGAACTGGAACAGGAACAGAAGTAGCTGCAGCAGCAGCAGCAGGAGCAGGAGGGCCTCATTGAAGAACCCGTCCATGCGAATAAATATGTACATATATACATACATATGTGTATATATGTATGTGTTGAGTGGCAAAAGGCTTTAAGCCTAAAATGGCTTAAAGCCCATATCGACTTACTCAGCTGCGAAATTTTTGTTTGTAGTTCTTTTTGGGGAGTGACGGGGCTACGCCACCAACCACTGAGCACTGGCAACTTCAAAAATGAAATGAACAGAACGAAAAAAATTACCGATAATTTTGTGAGTACGAACAAATTTTTAATGCCTCTCTTCTCTAAATACACTAAACTGAAAGGTAATGTGATTTCAGGGACCAACAAATGTTGTGTTGTTGTGACATAATCCACCATTTTTTGTTCTCACCCCCAACTCTTTATGAAAACAAGATCGTCATCTTTAATAGACATTAATACATTTAGCTGAAATAGGCACGACGACGATTAAAGCAACAATTATTTCAATTTTTACTGTTCAGATTTAAGTAGCAAAGTAAGTTCCATAAGTCGTATAAATTGGAAAAAGCACATGAACATAAACAGCATTCCATAGATTTTCCCTTCTTTTTCATCAAAAACGTTTTAAATAGCAACTTAAACTTATATTTAAGCCACGATGTATGCGAATAAATTTTCTTTTCAGCAATCGTCAAAGCAGTTAGAATTTAAGCTTCATTCTTTAGAAGCCCAGCATTTGAAACGACCATGGCTCTAGTTTATTTCTAAGTAAAACAAGAAAGGAATGCTAAAGTCGAGCAGGCTCAACTCTTAAATACCCTGTACCACCCCACAAAAAAGTAATTAAATTAATTAATTAATTTAATTTAATTAATTAACTAAATTAATTTAATTAATTAACTAAATATTAATTAATTAAATATAAAATATTCCATGCATGCATACATACATTTACATTTATATCAGAATCGTGCCTTATGCGTGTTTGTGTACTTGTACATATGTATGTATGTGTGCATTGGGCCTGGTTATATGGCTATAACTTTCTTTCCGATCATTCTATCATAATGAAACTTGGTATACGGATATATAATTACTAATCTAATGTAACTACCAAATTTTAGTTCAAAATTCCAAGAATTACGGGAGTTATAGAAAATCGGTAATAGGGGGGGAGTGGGGGGGTGGTTAAAAAAAATGAACAAACTCGTCCTTTCTCGGTCTCAGGAGAATCTGTATACCAAGTTTGGTTATTCTAGCTCTTATACTTTCGGAGATCCTTGCGTTCATACAGACAGACAGACAGACAGACAGACGGACAGACGGACAGACGGACATGGCTATATCGACTCGGCTTGTCATGCTGATCAAGAATATATATACTTTGTGGGGTCTACCAAGCCTCCTTCTGTGTGTTCCATGTGCACTCGCACAAAACTAATATACCCTTGTACCCTTTGGGTACAGGGTATAAAAATATTGCAAATTGCATTTTAATACTACAAAATGAGAGAGAGAGTTGCTTGGTGGCATCATAATAATCCAAGGTTCAATTTGTCATCGCCAGATCATTCTCGTCAGTTTTTTTAGTTTCGTTTTTTTTTATAGAAGAATAAGAAGTACAAGTACATAATTCTTTTAAAAGCACTACAAGTATGACTGCAAAAAATATTACTTCTGCTAGTATTTGGTGTTGTTGGAAAAGGCTTCCAACACATGCCTTTCCATTTTCAATGTGTACTTCCATAAACAATTTTCAAATTTAATAATTTGCAGGGAGGCATGGTCATGGACATAATTTATATCTGTTATTTGTCCTTTTTCCGACCACTGTAACATTCTAGACATGCCTCTCTATAATCGTCGCAGAAACCTCTCGTAAATTGTTACCATTCTCCGTACGCCTTCCCTTCTTCTTCTTCTTCTTCGTTCTGCACTCACCTGACATAGTCAACTGGTGTGCGTGGCCTTGCTTCGTGCAACTGTTGCCTGCTCCAGACAAATGGACGGGTGGACAGAGAGACAGCAGAGACAGCCGAGACAGGCATGCACACACCGCATTGCAAAATAAATGCTCATATGCATCTGCAACAACAACAACAACAACAAGAACAATAATAATGAAGCAGCTCCAGGTGCTGTTGCCGTCGTTGTTGACGTTGAAGCTGCCACATGAGCGACAGGACAAAAGATTTGCCGCAGAGCAGCAGAGACTGCCTGCCTACGTGCCACTTTCATGCGACTGTGGCAGAAGAACAATTTGCTATTCTTGTTGTTTCCGCAACCAAAGTTCAGTTAAAGCCTTATGCAACATTTTCGTTAAATCTTAAGAAACACTTTTTTATTCACCTAACATTCAAACAAGATATTGAATTAAATTCAAGTGAAAAGCGGGAGTGGGAATACTTGTAGAATGCGCTTTGCTGATTTTTAAATTTGAGGGTACAATAGTAATGCCTCTTTCTAGCTACTTAATTATTAATTCGAGTAGAGATTCCCAAACAACTGAAACGAAACTTGTCTCCAATGCGCTGCAGTGCTTGATATCATTATTGGCTTGTGCTGTTCGTTGATGAATACTTAAATCAAATGAATTCAAGCCTTTAAACATCGTCATACTAACATAATCAAAATAATATTCAAAGTAATAATGCTTTTTAAGTTTTATGGCAACCACTGCATTGACTGTAAAATTTCGAAACTATTGCGGCTAATAGTGCTTGTCACGCTATAAATTTTGATGACGGCCGGGCCAAAGGTTCGTGCAACATTGTGGCACCTTTTCAATGTAAACAACAACCCTAATATTTTAACATTTACTCACACACACTCACACACACACACACACACACATTAACAGACACACGAACCACGACCAGAAGCCGGCAACTTAATTCACATAAAAGTCACATAAAGTAAATAAGTTTGATTATGTGGTGGACAGGCAAAAAATTACCCACATGCTCAATGCGATGTGGAAAAGCTGGAATTGTTGTAAGTCTGTTGATTGGGTGGAAGGGGGATGGGGGGTGGGGGGTGGAGAGTCTGGGGTAACTGAGAATTAAGAGGAGCTGCTGCCAGTTGTCGCCATTGTAGTAATTAACATTCACAATGAAAATGAAAACGAGCAACTGTGGCGGGTGATGGTGATGGTGACGCTGTTGTTGCTATGATTACGTACAAGTATAGTTGCTGTTGTTGGTATTGTTGCTGTTGTTGCTGTTGTTGCGGCTTATGCGGCCGCTTGGGCGGTAAAAGTTTTTAATAACCCACAACAGCAAACATTGCAGGGACAACAGGCAGCAACCAGCAACCAACACCCACACATGAAACAACCGCCAACAGCCACAATAATGACACACAAAACTTTGACAATGTAGTCGTGCGTGGCCCGCTCCTCCCCCCACCAACCCACCAACCCGCCATTCTGCACTCCCACTCCCCGCGAAACAACAATACTACTGGCAACGGTAGCAGCAAAGGATTTCGGCCGCAATGAAAACAGCAATGGAAACCACAAAATGTGTAGCTGCCGGCTGCGTACACACAGGTTTGTAGGATGAAAGGTCTATGGTGGGGCCGGGGGAGGGGTTAGAGGGGACAGTCGGCTTGACAATACGCGCCACGCATACGCAACATCAAATTGCTGACCACACACACACAAACAGGCTGAGAGTCAGGGCAGACAGAGAGACAGACAGCAGGGCTGGCGGGCGAATTGGTGGCTTGGTGCGGCTGATAGGCCGAGGCATTCGATGAATGGATATTCAATCGCAACGAATGTGTAACAATCGAAGCGGTTTTGAAATAAATGAATGTGGCTTATTACGCACACTTACACACACACACACACACACACACACAAGCACACTCACACACACACGCACACAATGAAATAAATGTCAAATTGAAATTGACATGCTGTTGCAGACATGGCAGCAATAACCAGTGCCATGACAGCCAGCCAGCCAGCCAGACAGCCAGCCAGCCATTGAGCAGATAGACAAAGGGACAAAAGGACATTTTAATGCCTGCTCTGGCCGAGAAGAAGACGGGAATGTGCTTTGCTGGCGACAGCAGCCACCGACACGAATTTGAGGCTGTTCCCGCGTTCATGCGGCAGCAAAATTATTTCCAATCAGTTAACCAGAATACTTCAAAATTAATTAAAAAATGCAAAAAGAAAATACTTAATATTATAAAACGTTATAATGGTTTTGAAGCTTACAACGCTTGCTGAGCTTCTTCATTTTGCAAATCTCAATATTAATTATTTATAATAAATTATTATAAAAATTGAAACTAAAATTAATCATAAAATTAATTTTTTTTTTTTTTTTTTTTTTTTTTTAATCGCAAAGGACGCTACCTCAGCTTAAGCTTTTTTAAAACAGTATCTACTTGCTTCAAAAATTCAAGTGGTTTTTATAAAAAAAAAATGAAAGCCTAAATTAATGTTCAGTTACAAGGAGGTGATTCTTTAGAATTTTACTTCCGTTTGGCAATTGGTTCCAACTTCCTATAGTTCTCATTAAAAATTGCTTTTCTCTGCAGAACCATCGATGCCGATTCACTTCTTCATCTTCGTCTGCGCCATAGCTATCCTATAAATCCTTCACTATGTTCTAATAACAAACCTTTTTCTTCCTTGGTCATGAGCTGTAAACTATTTAAGATGCAGTACTGTTTCCGTACTATCATCTTATCTTTCATTGTAATTAATTTTTTACCCATTAAGCCGAATTGCGGATAAATGTGTCTAAATAATGTTTAAATGTGATTTTATGCTTTCAAGGAAGACAACCTTACCTTACCTTGAATGGTAAGATATATCTTCTACTCTATTCCACATCTAATTTCTTTTATTTGACCGACTTGTGTAAAGCTTTACAACTTATTGTGTAGAGAATAGATCCTCACTTTGAATGCTATTTACGTTTTTTGTTACTGGTTTGGTTGTAACGTAGAGATGAAAGAATTCATGAGCTCATTTCGTGAACTGAGCGGCATAAACTAGTTGCATAAGTGCGTGGCAATTATTTTGCTGGCGAGGGACGGAAAGAACGATTAAAATTGGATTAGCTGTAAATGATGGCCAAGTGCTTGATTGTTTTGTTGGTTCAGTTCAATGAACTTAATTCCAGCGATTGAATTAAAAAACAAAAATATAATTACTTATGTAGAAAAATTTATTTACTTTTGATTTATTTCCTGTTAAATTTACAATTACATAAAATATATACTTGATTTAAAAGCGACTTCTGCGAATCAATTTTCATGACTAGATAGAACTCTAACAATCCTTGGCCTGCGGCGTTGCTCCTTATCTGGAGACATCAGCGAACTCCACAGCTGTTGAAATTATTTCCAATCTGCAGCTATTTTGGATTATATTTGTATTTTGTATTTCGGGTTTTATATCCAGCAGTTCTACCGTCAAAATAAAACATGCCTTGATTTAAATATTATTCGATTTCCAATATATTTTCTTGGCTGCTATAACTTCTGAAATACTAGTAACTCTGAGATAAGTCCTGCCAGCGGTCAAAGGCCAAATGCGTAACGCATTAAGATGTTAACATATATTATTAAAGACAACATTTATTATTAGTGACTTAGTTATTAAGTTATCATTTAAGGCCATCAATTTGTGTTCATTTTTGTTATCGAAACATTAGAAACTTTCTCATTTGACTGAATATTTTTCCATCATATGAGTTCCTTCGAAAAGTAATGTATGTACGACATGGAGCTTAATTTTCTAATGTTCCCTTGGTTCTATGCACATATGTAATCGTACTCTTATATTTGTTTATCTAAAAGTGCGTATGTATTTGTGCTTTTTTATACATGTATTTACACACACATATGTATGTACTGATATAATGCCCATAATGTATGTAACATCTTACTGAACCCTCATCAAATTGTCGTTTGTCGAACAAAACTTTGGCACGCGCTTTTTCGGCTTCTTTTCATCGTTCCTTTCATTTTCTTTCGTTTATGTTCTTTCTTGCTTTTGTTTTTTGTTGTCTTCAAGCACAGTTTATGGAATTACTTTAAGGCACCACATACCCAGCCACACACATAAGTATAGGAATATACTATACGTACTACAAGTACATACAATATACCTAGGCTAGCCAGGCACACGGGCCTAATCAGATTTTAAAGCGCATTTATGAAAACAAAGGTGACTCGGCGGGCAGACGGGCGGCAATCAAAAAGTGAAAACTGTAAATGCCGAGCAGGATGGGGGCTGGGGAATGGTGAGAAGGGGGGTGAACTGCTCGACGTGGCTAATTTTATTAATGTTGCCAATTTTCAACGGGTGGCAGGCATATTTGGCTGCAAGAGCAGCAGGTAAGTGAGTGCCTAGACCAGGATGGCGTGGGATGTGATGGGATGGGATGGAGCTTTAGATTGTTAAGGTGGAGGATCGAAAATAGAAACTGGGTATAATGGGGGGATGGTGGCTGGACTGGCAACAAATGTGCTGCTTACGCGCGCAATTAAATATGAAATATTTAAGAAAAACGAACACCAGCCACCAATGTTGGCAAAGTTTTCCACACCAGCGAGTGGTGATGGGCGCCAACCCCAACCCCACCCCCACCATCACCACCGCCCATTCCCCCCTTTCACGGCCTAGTTACATACAGACATACCCACATACATAAAAGGCAAAGAAATATATAGGCTTAGAGGGCGCAAAGCTTTGCCGCCTGCTAATTAATAATTTTTGCTCAATTCAGCAGAATTCAGAATTTGTGTGGGGCCCAGAAAGCGGTGCAAACTTTGCTCGACATGACTTGATTAAGTTGCTTTTTAATGAAGTTCAAAGTGAATTCACCGGCAATTAATGCGCCCCGACATCGGCGTGCCAGGTGAGTGCAAACAAAAGTTTAGGCCAAGCAAGGTGGCTGTAATGGATATGAATAAAGTCTGTTGATTGCCTCTCTGGCCACCACCCTTCCCGCCAATCACTGCTCGCGGTGCTTGGCTCCGTCTGGTTGGGTATATGGTTGATGGCATGTCTGAGGGGCCTCTGTTTTGACTGGCATGTGATGGCTGTACGCCGCGTCATGAGCAGCAGTCTGAGCTGGCAGGCCGCAAAAAGGTGTTGCTGTGGTTGCGCAATTCTTTGCGGCAGCTCTTAGCAGTTTAGGGAGCTGTCAAGTGGAATTCCATGACCTCCACACTACACGAAACTGACAATAATATGGGCACACAGAGAGGAGTGGAGTCGGCAACTGAGATTAGGGAAGTTACGTTAATTATGCCACTAGGTGGGATACTTAAAATGTTCAGCATTTAGGGCTATAATGTATAATAATGTTAATCTATTTGTGTAGTTAATGGAATGGTGTTTGATTGGAACTTGGCTCACTTTCTCTGCCAGCTCTGTTCGCTCGATATCATTCTCTTAGTAGATAGGCTGACTGTAAATAAGAAGATTTCGTTTGGGTACTACTCCATTAATTAAGTAATAGGTGCTACAATACATCGATATTCGATTCGATTCTCTCGATTATTTAAACTTACACAGTACAAGTGATTTAAAAATTATGAAGCTACTTGCAGCTAGTCTCTTTCCCATCGAAAGCTATCACCACAGATCTATTCTACTTTCTGATTATTCATGTTCACAATGTTGATTTTTGATGCTCCGATTGTACCCGCTCTTTTCACCCACTTGCGGCTCGAAATTCTGCAAACTTACACTAAATGCTACCTTCTTAGTCCTTACAGCATGTTGGAGGCTCATCAATCAGTCTGACTGATAGAAACACGTTTAGACTATTAAATCAGCATTAATAATGCTAGAAAATGAACCAAAGATTATAAAGTCTCAGACCAAAGCTGATCGAATTCTTTTATTCCTTGTTTGCAAGCACTTTCTTGGTGACCCCGGAATAAAAGAGTTTATCATTAGTTTTCTTGGAATTTAAGTGGTATTGTATTAAAGACCTTTTCTTATGTTATGCAGCGAAAGAGTGGATGACGCGAATAAGACGAATAGATTATCGGGCTGATGGAAATATTGATCGGTCGACGTTCTGCAACCGCTCGGCCCGCCTCTGTTGCATCCTCATGAGTTGCCTCCGCTCGGTGTGGCTCAATATCATGAATCGGTTGCTTCTCTTCTTCAAAAAGCCACAAGCTACCGCTTCGTAGAGCATCGAGGGTGCGTAACGTTTGATCTCTTGTTCGGTGCGCTGAAGACGTGTGGCCAGGAGTTGGACGATCTGTGCGTACGTCAGCGGGTCCTTCTGCTCGACCATAATTCTAAAAACTATGCGAAAAATGTGTGGCATGAGCTCTCGGCGATTATAGAATGACGTATAATGCAAATTACGCTGGTTTGCACGCCAGTCAAGGGCCCGGTCGCACTTGTTGGGCACGGCAGAGGTGTCGCATTTTTGTCCAGAATGTGACATGGAATGCTGCATTGGACGTTGCATGTTTCCAGCCCTTGGTTTCATGTCTTTCTTGATGTGTGCCCCTTGGCGTGACATCCAGGGCGGCATCGAGTTGACCTTGTGGATAGGCTGGCTTTGCGATCTGTGGAAGTTCCTCCTATTGTGGTTTGCCTGTCGTCCACGTCTTGCTCCCGGCCCGTATTGCCTAGGTTGTTGGTCCTGCACTCCTTCACAGAAACCACCACTGCCGTAACTCCTGTTCTGGTTGCCCTTTTTCTCACTTTGCCAACTGATTTCGGATGTGCTCTGAATGTCGTTATTCGGGGTCTGTGCATACCCATAGCTTATAGGCACAACTGCTGGCAGTTGCCAACTTCCTGCCGGCTGTTGCACGGGATTTGGAGTACCATGGAATGCCTGTGATGGCAAAAGCCACTGCTGGGCCGTTGGATTGACATGCATCGCCGGGGGCCAAGCGACCATGTGGGAGATGTAAGGCACCCAAAGCCCAAAGCCAATTGGGTGCTGTTCTTGTAGACCGCCATAGCCGCCAATATCCCAGGGAAGATTCTGGTTTGGCTGCTCATTCTGCACCTCTGTGTTGTCCATACGTTCGCTTCTGTTACTGATTCGCCTGCTAGAGCAATGTGCCGATTCGCTATTCGAAGTGTCCTCAATAGCTATATGACGCGCTTTGTAGACGAATACCTTTGCAGCTGGATTCAGCTGAGAGTGTTTGTTAACATTGCCGTTAATGCATGTCATGTTAAAAACTGAAAATGTGCTGGAGGGAAAGGGATTGGGGTAAATAGGTTACTACGGAATCACTTCTAGAAATTTAGAAGAATTTATTCAGTCGGAATAAACACAAGCAGAACACAATTTCAATGCCAACTAGAACTGAAAAATATACAAGAGCCAAAAAGAAAAATCACTCTAATATGACGTAAATGGAAAAGCAGAGTGAAAGAACGTTGGGGGAACTAATCAACCTAAAGTGTTTCCTTCTTTCATAAAAACAAATTAATTATAAATAATATAATATATTTGTTTCTATATTTCAATCAAGGAATTTGCATGCACATTTTCTATTGATTTAATGATTCCGCTTTGAAGTGTCCATGTGGTCTTTAAAAAAAAAGATTCATCTTTTTGATCATGTATAAATGTTTTCGGATAATCTATACAAAAACAAGATAGAACGCTACAGTCCAGCAAGGCCGACAATTAAATACCCTCTACTCTCCTCAAATAAAGGAAAATTAAAAAAAAATATATAAAAGGGGGGGGGGGTGTATCAGGGGAAAAGAAACACAAGCTCGATCTGCCTAGGGCTTAGGGGAACCTGAATGCCAAGTTTGGTTATCCTAGATATTGTACTTACTGAGATCGTTGCGTTCATACAGACAGACAGACGAACGGACGGACAGACGGACATGGCTACATCGACCCAACTTGTCATTCTGATCAATAATAAATATACTCTGTGGGGTCTGCCACGCCTCCTTCTGTATATTCCATGTACACTCGCACAAAACTAACCCTCTGGGTACAGGCTATAAAAGGCGAAATATTTTGTGATTTATTATGAAACGTAAAGTCTTAGTGCATAATTAAAGTGAGCCTAAGAAAATGTATACATCATAAGTCAGAAGAGTAAGAAAGCACTCATTAATACAGGTAATAAATATATGGATTAGCTTGGCATTTACTGGAAATGTTTTGTAAAATTTCACGCTTAGCCAGATTAGAAAAGGATCGGGCCAGAGGACAACTCTGATCTGATGCCACGATTTGCACACTCTTGCACAATAGCGATAATAGATAAGTATACAAATATAGATGGAAAGTCTGCTCACTCCTAAAGCATTGTAGCTAAGCCAATGCCACAAAGCATATAAATATCCATAAATGCTAAGCGCAAAGGAGTGCACTTGCCACAAAAGCAACTACAAAAACAATAGCTACAGTGGCAAGCCAACAGAAACCTGCAGCAAATTTTTGCGGTTATATTTCTTCTTGCGCCGCACAACAATTATTTACACTCAAAAGTTTTGCCAAGTTGCCGGCGACGGGACACAAATGAAGCTGTAGCTGTGGAGCTGCAGACAATCAAACTGAAAGGCACAGACAGAGGGACGGACATTCGTACAGCAGGACATGCGAACATGTGTACCTGCAGAGTTGTGATGGGGGGGAGTGTGTGTGTGTGTATGTGTGTTGAAGCAAATTCCTGGGAAGGAAGTTATGGTATGCGGAGGCACAGCGACAATTGCAAAAATTATGCAACTTTTGTGGTAGAAGCCACAGTATTTCTTGTTGCTGATCCTTCTGTTACATCTGCAGCTGCCTTCTCCTGCTATTGCTCCTGCTCCTGCTGCCGCTGCTATTCCTTCTCCGTCCAGCTGCTGCTAGTGCCTGTTGTCCTTACAGACAATTAGGCAAGGACAATGCAGAGCGCACGCTTTATAAATGCTCAGCATGCATATGAGAACCAACACAAAAAGTGCCCAACACACCTGGCAATGCGCTTCGGGCTGCCGATTCTGAGCACTGTCGGTGTCTTTCTTTGTATGTACTTACATGCATGTCCCTGTGTATGTGTGTGTGTGCATGTGTGCCCATGTGGATTTCCTGGCAGGATGTGTTAAGCCAACGCAGGCATGCCTGAGACGCATTGAAGTTCATTGCCGAAAGTTGTCGTGTCCCTTCGTGTCGTCGCTGGTGAGGCAAGGAAGACAGGCAGGAAGCCAGCCCCAACATAATGTCATATCCATAGACACATGTTGTGGTGTGTGCCACAATTTGGCGCATTGTTGCTGCTCGACGATGTTGTCGTTGTTGTTGCTGTTGTTGTTGTTGTTGTCTAGAGATGTCTCTGCGGCATCAGGATGTTGCAAATTAGAAAGCATACTATGATTTACTTAATTGCAACACCCGGTCTTTCTGCGTCTCATTTAACACAAGAACCTGCTACTACTTGCTACTTAGTGGCGCCCAACATGGGGCATTAAAACTTTACGTTTATTACTTGACATTTGGATTGACTTTGGTGACAAACTCCTGCACGCTTTGAGTTAACTCGCGCTTCTGTTCAGCTGCACGCTGCTTGTTCTTGGCATCGTAGTCCTTTAGGCGTTCCGGCGTCATGCACCACATAAGGCGGCGATTCTTCACGAATCGGTAGTGCTTCGCAATGACCATTCGATTGGCCGCCAGCTGTACACGTCTAGCGAACTCATGACCAATGCTGGTGCGCCGCTCCTGACCATTGCTGTCGCTGGTCACGGCATATGAGCGCAGAGCCAAGCCTAAGGACCAACAAGTTAGACAAAAATTGGGCAAAATACGCGATCTCTGGCGGTAACTCACCTACTATGAATATTTTGAGAACATCTTTTAGAGTGGGTGGATCCTTGAGTATCATTATGGGAAAACAGTGTGGCTATTGTAATTTTTAAATGACCGTATTGGTCATTGTTGGCATTTAGGCCCAAAATCTCAAAGGTGGTTGGAACTGTTGCGTCTCCTTTACTTTTAGAATTTCGACCAAAATTTCGTAGAAAATATATACATATGTAAATGATTTCTAACGCCAATAGAGTGTTTCTCCAACCTAAACGCTCAGAGCCAACTGCCACATTTCACAAAGTGCTGTGGCCCAAAGGCCAAGGACCTCAAATGGCCAGCTAACCGTTTACGCCAACAACATTTTGAAAATTTTCACACACAGCGAAAATTTAGCAAATTTACAATCGTTCCTTTTTTTTTTGCGCCGCCTGTTGACCAACATCATGAGCCACAACATGGCCAAGTTTATTTGCAATACTGACAAAATTCATGAGCATGCTCGCATCTCTGGCGCCAACAATGATGATGGCGATTGCGATGACGATGGCGATGATGCCAACACTTGTGTGCACAAGCGGCTGCCTATTAAATCGCCCATCCAAGGGGAAGAGGAGAAGGTGATGGCGGCTGGTGATGGTATTGGAGGGGACAGCCGGGAGAACCTATTTACGCAGCAAGTTTAGAGTAGTTGTGAAGAGCGCTTTTGAGCAGTTTTTTTTCATATATTTCCAAACATCGATTTGCTGCCATTTGCAATTCACAAACGTGTTGTTTTAAACAGACCTTCAATTTTGTAATCCAAATTACCCATTTCAAGGAATTGGAACAGAATTTCAATTAAATTGTAATTTCAATCATGGCTTTCATTGATTGGTGAATATCTGCTAATGTTTTTTGTGCCCCTTATTTTGAACGAACATTTTTATATACATACTTATTATATAAATGCATCCATCGATCGATGCAGATACTGGCATAGTGAAAGGCTCTTCATAGATATAAATTTTCAAACCTTAAATGTTCTTAACACCTAATACCGTTCTTAGTTTTATTTTATAAATATCGTGCATTATTAAAAATAAATGGAAAGCTTAACAGATTTTGTACGGAACTAAAAATTCATCTGATATTCTGAAATTCATTCATAGTTTCCCAACTCTTCAAAAAATTGAATTATCAAATTTGGATATTCTTATTACTATTTATTTATTTTTAAACAAAAAAGAATGTTTGTGAAAAATTAAGCTGCGGCAAGGAAGTATTAAGCTGGGAAGGGCGTACGCAGATTTTACCAAAGAGAGACGCCAAAAAATTAAAATTTTGATTAAAAAATGCGCGATGCATTTAAAAAATAATTTATGCATATGATCAATGAAAAAACTTCAACAAATTTAACTCAGTTCCATTTTAAAGCGCAACAGTGCTTCATAATAATGAACGTGTGGTCGCAATAAAAAATTTGCTACTTAATTGCAAAGTATTTCAATTAATATAAATAATAAATTAATACAAAATGTAACTAAATATCTCAAAAGAATAAAACGCTTTGCCAAATACAATTAACTTTACAAACTTGAATTGTCAGCCAATTTGCTTCCAATAAATCGATGTTATCATACAGAATTTTTCCAAATTATTTATAACGATAACCATAAATGCGGAAAATATTAAAACAATGCAGACTTAATAACAGGACGACTTATATTTGACATCGAAGCTTCATTGGTGATGTCTGGTATCCAGGACTCTTGGCTGCTAACTGAATTCAAAAATGATTTTCATGTGAAAATATTGCTGTCGCATGTATGGCCGCAGATGCAATTTTCCATCCGCAAACCCCCCCGGTGGGGACAAAGTGTTTGGGGTGGAGGGGGTGGGGGGTCTCGTCATCTTAGCTGACCAAAACCAACAGGAAGGAGGTGGAGGAGGCCAACAGAGCAAACACAGTGGTGTGCTTGACTGCAGTAAGCCATTGAACCACAACCGTTGGTAGGGTTTGCATCGTTGGCACCACCCAACAAACAAGCTAAGCCCTCAACCGCACCCACTGCCGCTTACAGTGCCTGGCAATCACATTAGGCTCCGGCAGGATGGCGCTGGACAGCGTTTATCCTTTGCCCACGCCTGGCATGCAAATCGATTGATGTTGATTAGCATAAATTGTCTGCACCGCATTCTGCAATGAATAATTTCGGTAGCAGCACCAACAACACCCCCTCCCATCCCCTCCCCTCGTCATGCCAGCCCAGACCATCCCACCCCACTCTGCCACCATGTCAGCCATTGTTCACTTCTCAGTGCAGGGGGAAACGTGTGCGTGTGTCTGTGTCTGTGCCTGGGACTGGGCCTGGGCCGGGCATGTCGGGGCGCATGTTCATGTCCTGCACTTCCTGCCATAATGCAATTCTGTTTTCCTTAATTTGATAGGCGGTGGCAGCTGTCTATCGGAGCTTACAGGCAGACAGGCGAGCTGTGTGACGATAGAAGGAAGTGACCCCTCTCTCTCTCTGTCTCTCTCTAGTGGCCCATCTCGTGAAAGCGAAAGTGCATATAGATTTTATGAACCAACAACTAGATTTAGTTAGTCCTTCTAATCTCAAAGTGTTTCCCTTTCATAAAAGCATCTAAAGTGCCATAAGCTCAGGCCTTTTAATTATTTCTCCTCTGCACAAACTCCCATTAAAACTATTATTATTTGATATGGACCATAACATGAAGGGTGCAACAAAGTTGTTAACAACTTTTTCCTAGCACTTAGTAATTAGTAAAGTATAAGTTATTTAATTTTGCATTATTGCAGCAACTTTGCATCAAACTGAATCTCTTTCTGTGTCCATGCGCTTATTAAAGCAAAGGCCTTGGTTGATAAAAAATAAATAACAAAGCCTTTTAAATAAATAGCATTGGCATTAATTGCTATTAAAAATTCTGCCAACTATTTGTTGCAATGTACTCTAAAATTGTAAAGAACTTTACTTCACATTCAATTCACAATTTTTCCAACTTTTTTATTTTTTTGCACATTATTTTTAACTTGCCCTTTCTCCAGAGAATCTGAATAGCCAGTTTATTTATTCTAGCTCTAATTTCCTTCAATTCCGTGCAGACAGACGAACAGGCTATAACATCCTGTTAAACAATTTACTTACTTTTCCCTTTAAAATCTTTGTGTATAAAAGCATTTTGTATATTTTATTATTATTCGCATCTAAAAAATCTGCATAGCTCCCGATATTTTGATTACGTGCTTATTTCATTTTTTATTCCATTTGTGTGGTTAAAAGGGAATTATAATTCACATAAAGGCAACTGGAACAAGAGACAGATATTGGGGGATCAATGTCAATGCCTAAGTATGGTTATAAATTTGTTACTACTTATTACCTTTAACCAGAAACTAGATGTGGCCGTAATGTACATCAAATGTAATTGGTTTTATTTAATTTTATTTAATTAATATTGAAGATTGTAGGTGTAATTTGCGTTAATCGCTATACTATTTTATAATATTTTATATGAAACGCAGAGTTTTAGGTGTTATCCAAACTTTTGATTGAATACGAAGTTATGTAGTCATTAATATTAGTAATGATTACTATTAATTTTTATTGACTGGACAATTTTTACAAATCACTATTCAATAAAACGAAGCAATGTCAAAAAGTTATGAATTTTTTGGTAGAAAACTTTACTTTACCAATTTGCCATTTGTTGTTATCTGTTTATGCTTTTGATGTTATAATCTATTTGAAATGTGTTGCTGTTTGTTAATGAGTATCAGGTTAGGAGTTGTTAATTCAAATGCATTTATTCAGTGCAATATAGCTTCAATAATTAAATATTCACATACTCGTATAGTTTAAAAATATGCATATATACAATTTGTTGATAACTTTCAATAAACTGTTCAAAAATCACAGCAACAACTACTCTCTTTCTTTATCGACAAATATATTGCTGGAGGCTTGAAATTTGTCTGATAATAACATATTTTCTGAAACGTAAATCAGCTTTAATTTCAAACCTTAATAATTTTGGTTTGTAGAATATCACAGACACCTACAGAGCAGTTTTCTTAATACTCCGCCTAATCTGTGGCGAATCGAAAAAATACATCTCAAGCAAAACTTTCTCATGGCGTCATTATTAGACACATACATGCACATGTATGTATGTATATGTATGACTATATATCACCATATAAGTCCCCATCCGTAGGTGAAGAAACCTCACTTACTAAACTCAAATCATTTTCATCATCATTATTAACATCTTTTGCATTTGCACAGCTTAGACTAATGGGAGCGTGTTATTGTTGTTTGTGTACTCATGCCGGGCGCAAAATTATAGGCAATACAAAATGAATTTCATTCTTACACACACACACACGCACACACACATTGAAATGTGGGGTGCTAATCTGGCCGCCAATAACTGCAAATGAGATTAGCTATGGGCGCGGGTTTGGGGGCTGCTGCCACAGTAGCAGTAAGCGGCAATAACAACAGCTGACCGGAACGGTCGAGCTCGTACTTGGATGGACCTGGGGGTAAATGAAACTGTGGGGGGTATGCGAATAGCACGCAACATTTTTGCCGTTATTTAGAACGATAGCGGACACGCATGGCTTTGATAAATCTCAGCAAACAGCAAATCGACACTCAAAGTGCAATCCCAGGATATCTACACACACACACACACATGGACAGACATACATATATTTCATGTATTTAGGTGTATGTGTTAGACTGTGTGGACTCCGTTATGGCGACGCAGCACAGACAAAACTAATAAAAATAATTCAAACTTTTCCGCTTAGAGTTCCGTTAAATGTGCTGGGATATTATTATTTTTGTGCCTGTGTTTTGCGCCTTGATGGAGTCTGCGATGGGAAGGATGAGGGGCACAAGACGGACGGCTATGGCAACCTCGATGTTTATTTATGTCTATAACCAAACAGTGGCGCCGACACTATGCTATGCGGGAGCTCTCCATTGATGGCACAACTTTGCTCAAGTGTGCCAACAAATCGAATTTGAAGAGCTTGCAGAAATATGTACTCGTATATCGAATTGATGCCATAACTAAAATAGTTTCTCATAGGTATTACAGAAACTTTTACAAGAAACGTTTTCTTTCTATTGTACAACAACTTACAATCGGAATGGCTTAACAGTTTTGAAATTCCTTTTACCTGTTTTTCCAAACTTGCAAGCGAAGTATTTTTTTCATTTCTGCCAGTTTCGTTTCTATTATCAGCAATCAGATCATAAGGGAAAATAATCTCATTTACTCATTAAGTACCGATCTGCATTCATTTGAAAATAAAACACTTTTTAAATGGTTTTTGCTTTGGAAATAATTCAAATATATTGTTAAAAAGAAAGGGAATTGAAAAATAAGTCTGCAAACTTCAAAAAATTCTTTAATTCTACGACTTTCAATCTTGTCTGTCACTAAAGAAAAATTAGATTTTTAAAGGACTTGGTTAGTATTTTTAAAACAAAATACTACAAGTATTTTGAGGGCTTCAAGCACTTCGCTGAGATCTTAAACGGGCATCAGAAACTAATGAAATGGCTATTAGTTCAGCAACTAAAAAAAAGAATAGGGAATTTATGAACTATGGGTATTCATAAGCTTGTTATATGCTGAAATATTTAATATTTTCAAGAGTTAAGCAATTTATATGAATTCCTAAAAATTTAAGCATAATAATAAAGCAAATATTTGGGGATTTAGAAATGTGATGTGCTTCTAATTGTTGAACTTTCTATAATCCTTAGGAATTTAAGAACGAACCAGTTTTATGTAAAATATTTGATGCCAGCTGACCCTTATCAAGCGGGTTTTGGATATCCCAGGCCATATTTAAGCTATATTTTCTGGCTATTGAATTCAAACTCCGCTCTATATATTAATAGTATATTATAAATTATTTTTTTAGTATCCCAAATCTGGTCTATGGGGGTTGTTAGCAGCCTCGTACCACCAATATACAATATTGGTATTATATTACTACAATATTCATCGATAAATTAAGCCGAAACCACTTCTTTATATCGATAGCTGCTAACGGAATGCATTTCATCCAGAGCCCACAAATGGAGCTGCCTCTGTCAAGCCATAACAACTTCCGCCGGAAATGGGCATTAAAGTGCTGACGCCAATGTTGCCATTGCTTCGAGCCCGTCGCCATCATCATCGTCAGCATCGTCGTCGTCGTCGTCGTTGTCGTTGTCGTTGTCGCCACCATTGTTGTTGACCAGCAGCAGATGCCAGTGTTGCCATCACACTAGCAGCACTTACACACATGGCTGCTCAGACAGGATGGCCGGCCTGCCGCTAATCGTAAAATAAATTATTTTCCATACGTGTATATGTATATAAGGATGTGTGTGTGTGTGTGTGTGTGTGTGTGTATCATGGCAAGATGAGTTACCGCTCCTGCTGCTACTCCATCTGCTCCGCTCTTCGCCTGATTGCGCGCCATAATTCTTGCATCGCTGCCCCATCGACAAATGAGCGAGGCGGAGGAAAGTATAAAAGTTTCAGTTAATTGCATATGAGCTGGGCGCGAGTGTGTGAGTGTGTGGGAGTTTGGATACGGATCCGGGTGTGGCCAGTGGATATACGGCGCCTGGTTAGCTGGTTTTAATTGTTACTAGACACATTTGCAGCTTTGCTTAATCACTTGAGCCAGATTAGTTAAAGTTGCTGATGAGCTTTTTGTGCCATCCACATATGAGGCTACGAAAAAAAAGGAAAGAAAGGCGAACGGAGGAGGCGGACAAAGAGGTGGCAAAGTGGTTAAATGTGTTGTGCTGTCCAGCACTGTTCCACACTGTCAGTAATAATTAAACGCACCGATGCCATGTGGTAAGTCAAATAATACTATCAACGAAATGGAAATGAACGAAACTTTTGCGCTTGGAGCCTCCAAACTTTGTAATCAAATCCGACAGACATAGAGCATTGGTGCTGACATGGCCATGAGGAGAGAGGTGTCATGAGTGCCAGAAAAACTACGAGTGTTGTGGGGGCAGTAATCGGTTTAACGGCAGCTGAAAATATACATGTTGTTGTACTATAGTGCACTTCTCTTTCATCCTCATACACTTATGTACATACGTGTATATGTACATATATGCGTGGGGCAAAGCCTACAAACATATAGGGATTTGTTTGTATTTACAAGCATCATCAACTAAAATAAAACTTTAGAGTTCACAAATTAACGAAATTAAATTCAATGTTGAATTTGTAGTTCAGTTGAGTTTAGTTGACGACAAACGACAAATTAGATCTGAAACGTCTGATGAAAGTCGGGCTTAGTAACTGCTAGAAAATCATTAGAGATGTCTTTCTCCCAAAACTAGCTTTTCTGTAAAGTACTGAACAAATCTTTCATTGCTTCTCTAGTTTTCATTCTTCTGCTTAATAACAGTTCTTATTACAATTGGGTTTTCATGAATTTTGAAATATGGGCGACTCAAAATATTCAAACATATTGCAGTTCCCTAGCACTGTCAAGCAAATATAGGCAACATCAAATAAACTTCAACTTTACATAATTAAATATTAAATAATATATTAAATGTAAATAATATTAAAGTCGATGTATCATTAGCAAGCTGCCTAAATAGAAATCAATGCTGGAAAACATATCTGGCAGAGACTACAAATTATTTTAATTAGCTAGGGACAAATTGTTTCTTTGTGTGAGCATTATTTGTTATATAACTTTGATGATAATGATTTGATTCTGAATTATGTTCTTATTTCGATTCTATTCTTCTCTAAAAGTACTTACTTTCTTCGTAGTGCAAGAAGTGTCGTAGATAAGTAATAAATATGTCGAAATATTATTGTTTTAGGCTCTACTTTTTCATCATTTTAAATATTAGCCCGGAAATCGGGTTTTCTTCTTTTTTTAACAGTCCAAAATCTTTTTAACCGGCTGTGCTGTTGCATGCTATCGTCCATAAATAATATTTAAGCTCTATAGTAAATAGTATTTACATTTTAAATAATGGCAAATAAAAATAATTTTACGTTCGCTTATTTTTGGCATTTAAGCGACATTGTCACTAGAAAACTTTTCATTTAAAAACTAAGTGGAAAAAATTAAATTGTCACCAATTCGTCAGCGATCAAAAAGGAATATAAATTGGTGTCACATTTTTTTTGAGTTCAAAACAACTCACCTATAAAAGCTTATCCTTCGGGTTGGATTTCAGGTATGATAATCATATTATTAAATTGGCTTTAAAATGCAAATTGTGCCACGAAATATGTACGGATAGGCGTAATCATCTCCTTTCAAAATTGTGTTTAAACATTAATTTTGAAAAAAGGGAGGAAAAATAAAAGGAAAATAAAGGCAAAATCTGTGCCATTCGCATGACTGCCTTTTCCGGCTTCAAGAGGGAAACCCTAATACCCCTTTTGAAGGCTATAATTATATTAGTGTTTTGGAAGAAAGGAATTTGGAAGAACAAAGGTTGGTTGCATATAATTAAGGTCGGGGGAAGTATGTACATTTTCGATTCAGTCGTCTGCAGAGACGACTTTCGCAATTGACAATGAGGCTGTGATTTGTCTGTGGCTAGCCAATAAGTGAATTGAGTATGCAACAAAATACTTGTTATGCCATTCCCACCCATCAGTTGACGCCCCCGAAAAACGCCCACTCATCGACTCATCGACTCAGACATCTAGCCATCTAGCCAGCAACGTTGCGAAGACGTGCGCTGCGTATCCATAAGATAAATAGATACGCTTGCACTCAAGTAGATTTCAATCAGGTTGCGGTTATTGTATTGCTCGACTGTCGGCTGCCGTTGAAATTTTCTGCTATCTAAATTTTGTGTGACACGTGCCAGACACAACAAAAGCAACAACAACAAGGCCAAAAAACAACAATAAACACAGCAAGAACAGCGACAAGGACTAGAGCATAGCTGCGGTTACGTCCCTGGCCCCTGACGTTGCTTTGTGGTTGTTGTTGCTGTTGTTGTTATGTCGACAACTGATTGCACAAATCCCACCCAACTCTGTGCTTATGCAAATTTGAAGCGTTACCCCATCCCGCTCCCTTCCCGGCAGTTGTGCTTTATTGCCCCAAAGCATGGACAATAAAATGACGACGACTGCGACTGGGATTGGCGACTGCGAGAACGACATCGTCAGCGACTACGCAGCTCATTCTGCTGGCCAAACAGATTGTGATTGCCGTGCAGCTCTCGACTTTAACTGCAAATCGATAATTTCAAGAAGAAGCCGAAATGGAGGCAGAGATGAAATGAAATCGAAATCGAAGCCACAAACTTTAACTGAACTTTGCCTCATGGATAAATGGCAAGCCCCGAAGCTCTCTGGTGGTCGTTCGCCCCAGTTCGAAGCGAAACTTTCACTTTCAATTGTCACACTGGGAAAAGTATATGAGTATATATGTACATAAGTATACAGATATGTTTGAATAATTCCTAACTCCTAAAAACTGAAAAAATATCGACCAGCCTCGACTCTCGACGAAAATGCTGCGTGGCAGCCAAAATCGTGCGCCTCGTCGCAAACTCATCCCGAATCTGTTCAGCAACATACTGAAGGTGATTGCCGAGTCGGATAGACCGCTGACGCAGCACGAGATAGTCGAGGCTGTATCGCAACGCATGGAGCGTTCCGACGAGGAGCTCAAACGGCAAATCACCGTCAATCTACACGACGCTCTCATCACTGGCTACCTGCGTGTGAAGAACTTTCGATACTCCATTGTGCCCAACGGCTTGGACCCCAACGAGCCGCGTGAGTCACGCAACAGACAATTGACACTCACGGAAGTGATGAACGTCCAGAATGCAAATGAAGACGCAACCCAGGCGACGACATCAGCTGAGGCCGAGCAGGCAGCTGAAGTAGCGGCTGTGGCGTCTCTGCAAGCCGAGACAGAAATTGCTTCAAATGAGGACGAAGCCGTAGAGATCCCTGAGAGTCGAGAGACCGTAAACCCCAGCATGGATATAGAAGAAGAAGAAAAGCCACAATAGGAGAATAATTGAAGCTTCTGCTGAATTTCCCTACGCCCCATCTTTTGTAATAACTGCCCGAATAAATTATAGGTTAACTATCCATCTGGTAGAATAGCAACAACAAACAAGTCTGTGGGGAAAAAACTATATATTCAATAGAATCTGAGGACTTTGAATTTGAACAAATACTGAGATACTCAGAAATTGAAAGCATGCCTAATCGACTAGAGAGCGTTGTGAAGGGAACCCACTATTAAACAAAATAATAATTTTTATAATTGAGAAAAACTGAAATGAAATGAGAGACAAGTGATAATTACAGTTTTTTCTGCATTTTACGATAATGTCTTATCATAAGAAAATTTAGTATAATGCGAGTATATTGACTTTGTCGGGAAATAAAATCTTAACAAGAAAAATCTTTTTAAAAACTCTCTTTAGTCACTTTAATAAAATATAATGTTAATATTATAATATTTACATTTAAGTGCAAGTTTTAATATTTATATATTATGACACTTTAATAAAATATAATGTTAATATTATAATATTTACATTTAAGTGCAAGTTTTAATATTTATATATTATGACATTAGAAAATAAAATCGGCTTGTTCTATGACAGCGAGTGTGGTTTAGGGGTCTGACTTATTACTCTTCAAATCCAAGCTTAAATAAAATGAAGTAAGTAAGAATAAGCAAGATTTTCCATAGAGAGATGGGGTTGGAGTTAAGCGACAAGTTTGTATGTAGAGTAATTGTTTTCTGCTTGCTTTCCATTTATTAATACTTCATCGCTAAGAGGTCTGACCATCAATTCCATGCTATGTACAATAAAATTAAATAAATAATAGTTGCATTCCAACTTCAGCACCATATCATTATTTGTTGGAAGATTTTTCATAGAGGCTATGGGTACAAGACATATTTTTGTATATATATAGAAATGTGTTTTTATTTAAAACTGTCCATCGTGGACAATCATTAAATTGGTTAATAAGATATATGTAGATGGGGTTGGACTCAAGCGACCAGGGTGTACATAGAGTAATTGTTTTCTGCATGCTTCCCATTTATTAATACTTCATCGCTAAGAGATCTGACTTATCAGTTCCATGCTATGTACAATAAAATAAAATAAATAATATTTCGGGAGTTCCACCTTCAACACGATAGCTTTACATGTATTTGTTGCAAGATTTTTAGATGGGGTTAGACTTAAGAGGCCAGGGTGTACTTAGAGTAATTGCTTTCCCCTTCCTTCCATTTAATAAAACCTAATCGTGGATAAGAAGGTACAACAACAATGGCTAGCTGTGCAAATTATATTTGAAATGCATCAAACTTAAATTTTTTACTTTGTCCGAATATAGTTAGCAAAAATAATTCGATAAACCATAACAATTCAAATTTTATAGAAACGCATTGGAAACCAGAACCAGAGTTGCTTGGAATCCAGTGAGCGCTTCCAAGCAAGTCAATCGACCAAAGTGACAGAATTGTGTGTGTGTGTGTGTGTATGTAAGTGTGTGTGTGTGTGTGTGTGTGTGTGTGTGTGTGCGGCACGATGCTCAACGTTTGCGCCACGACAGTGGCTCCTTCTCCAGCTCCTTGGCACGCTCAGCTGCCTCCATGTTCCGCTTCATAATCTCCACCTGCTCCTGTTCGGATAAGAGCGTATAACGATTGCCATCCTTCCGCAAGTATCCATTATTGACAGCGGCGTGCAGTGTGTGTGGCACATGACGCTTCAACTCCACTTCGGGACGCTGCAGACGCAACGCCAACGTATTGATAATCTCCGGATAGCTAACGGATCGATTCAGCTCCCTCATCAGACCCAGAACGGCATGAAATAGATCGGGTAGCGGCTGGCGCCGCCAACGCGATTGCTGTGGCTTTGTCACAAACCGTTGCGCCTGCGCCTGGGCCTGAGCCTGCTGGGGCGTCTGCAGGAGCGGCTGCGACTGGCAAGGCAGCGGCTGCAGCTGGCTGGACAACGGCAGTGCCAGTAAACTCTGTGAGGGTGCAAAACTGGCGGCAGCCACATTCAGCTGAAACGGATGAGTCTCTGGCGTTGGCAGCAGATGCATACTGAACTGCGCGGGCGCGCTGTATGTGGGCTTGGGCAGCAAACCGACGCCGTTGCCACTGCCGTTTAAAGCACCGCCGGTGCCACCACCGCCAGCACCGAAACCAATATTGCCAGCGGCAGCGCTGGCGGCATGCTGCTGCGTCGCAATGCCATAATAGTTATGATTAGAATATTGGAAGCTCGAGGGTCGGATATAGGCGGTGGCCGCTGCATTCAGCTTGGAGTTGACCGCCCGCTGGTAGAGCGATGGTGACGGCTTGCTTCCTTGATAGTTGATGTTGTAGGGACAGTTGATCGCCTCCATATCAGCCGACGCCTGCATCTGCGATTGAGTCTGCATCTGAGTCTGCATCTGTATTTGATTCTGAGTCTGAGCCGGTTCGCTCAACTGGTTCTTGCTCCTGGCTAGGGCGTCAGGGCCGGTGATGGCCGCCTCTAAAGCGGCCACCGCGGCCGAGTCGCCATTATCCGACTGCTGCACCATATAGCTGTGTATGTGGCCATGGCCATGTACGCTCCCACCGCCACCGCACTCCTCACCGTGGCCTGCCGCCATTGCCATCTCGCTGCTGTCACCGCCCACGTTCAGCCTGTGCCTCGAGTTCTTCGTTTGCCCGCTCGTCTGCTGCTGCAGCTCCAGTTGCAGCTCCTGCTGCTGCTTCTGCGTCTCCTCCTTCTGTTGGTGGTGTTGTTGATGGTGTTGTTGTTGTGTATCACCTAAATTTAAATGCAGTCTCTCCATGTTAGACCAAACTGGCAAGGAAGTGTGTTAACGTGTTTAAACAAAAAAAGAATGAAAAAAACACGCGGGTTAGCGACCAGTAGCCCCAAACCCAACTATGGTACACGCGCTACAGAAATTTTTCCAGTTTTCAAGCTGCCGAAAGATGAAATTTAGCCGATCAAATAGAGTAATGCTGTAATCTGACATATCGACGCATGCTCTGTTCAATAAAACCAACAAATTTTCGTTCTGAAAACTAAAATCAAACGGCTTTTTGCACATTGTCAGGCATAGAATGTCAGCGAATCGTCAAAAGACAACAGCTACAGTGCGTTTTAGATAGCATAGGCATCGGAAATATCCGGTTTCTAAAAATAGGAGATCTTACTATAACCTTATAGTGCTTTTCAGTTATAGAGATAGACCTCATAGTTATTATTCTCTAAGATAAGTGAGCATCTGTAGCTGTTTTCAAATGGATCGTCGATCTGATCTCTACACTACGAGATGTGAACTCCATAGCCTGCCAGTTAGGCTGATAGTTCTGTGTAGGGAACAGAATTAAACCTTTTCTATTATCTGCAGATCCCCATCTCATCTGCTACAACTAATTCAAGTTATACCCCATTCATCTCGAAGAAATAGAAAAGTTTCTTAGATGAAGAAGGAAACCAAGCGCCTCAATATTCTTCTTATGAAGATCTTCTATTGAAGGCCCAATTAACTCAAGACCCTTCTAACATCCCATGGGCTTCTGCTCATTCTTCTGTTGGAGCTACTTAGTTATATTATTCTATCTATATCTATGTATTTTTCTAATCCGTAAACCGAACATAAGAAGCACGTGAAAAGCTGCTTATCTAGAAAAGAGAAAAAGCCCCTGTCTGGCATGCTCCAAGCTCCCTTCATTCTTCTGTCAGAAGCGCACTTAACTCATTTGTTACAACTCCTCTAATACCATAGTTCCCAGTACACAATCAGTTTAGTGGATTGTGTGTTGCCGCTAACCCCAGAAACGATTTGCAAATATTTTCAGAGCACGGAACGAGCAAGGAAACATTGAATGAAATCAACAAAACAAAAGTCAAGTCAAACCCCATTGTGAAAATAAAAAGTATGCGTGGCTGCTTCTGCTTCTACTTCTGCCGCGGGCTCTGGACCCAAACACGCAAATCCGTTTACCCAAAGATGTAAAACAATATTGGGTACAACGAGGCAAACACTTGAGCAAATAAGCCAGACCCTGGCCCTCAACCCGAGCAAAAATTGTGCTGTGCATAAACAAGGGGGACACAAATGGGCGTAACCATTACCGCGGGCGATTGCCGAAAACACGAGGTGCGAAAAATCAGAAGAATGCGACTTACGTTTTGCCTTTCTTTTCATTTTTTTCTCTCTTCTCTTTTGACTCTTTTGTTGCATGAAATATGGCAGAGCCCGCAGCTGAGTAGCCAAGCGTGGGGTTTGGCATTTGGATGTGGGGTTGGGGTTGGGATTGGGATTGGGTTTGGAGGCAACTGGTGCTACTTATATTTTAGACGAGCTGCCTGGCGCCTGAGCGAATTGCTTGTCATACTTACCGTTCCGTTCACCTGCAACTCTTCTGTTGATATCAATTGCCACTGGGCCGAGCGGGACTAAGCTGAGCTGAGCTGAGCTGAACTGGAACTGAACAGGATGGGGTTGGGATTGGATGGGGTTTGGTGTTGGAATGTTCTGGGGTTGTGCGGTTGTGAGTTTGGTGCGTTGCTGGTCGCTGGCAGCTTGTCGGTTGCAGTTCAGAGATGTTGGCCCAGTGCCAGCCAAGCTTTGGGTGCCAGACGAGCAACGTGCGCATATAAAATTAGACGAAAAGTTGAGTTTTTTCACTAAATTAACCAAAGAATTCAATCACGAATTCAACAAAATTTTGTTAAGTTTGACATAATTTGAACAATCGGAAAAGGCAAATGAATTTCAAAACAGCAGCACACAAATACAAGCATATCTATGCATACATAAATCTCACATTTTCTCTCTCTCTCTCTCCCCCCATTTCCCTATCAGAAAATGAAACATTCAGCGAGCTAAATACTCTCCCTCTCGCCCTCAGCACAATACTTTATTCCTCCATGGTCATGACCCACCCTACACCTATACCCTACTGCTCCTGTACTTATCTTGTCTTGCTCTAGAAAGCATTTTTTACTTATTTTTCGAGTGATTTAAGTCCATCAGATACATATGACTGGAACATTGTCAATATGCAATTTGGCCGTTTTATCTTTAAAATGTATGCCTGCAAATTTGTTATTTATTGTTATTTCTATGACAGATTTGTGATATATGTAGTTATAGTTATTACAGTTATATTGTTATTATAGTTAGTGCGATGACGAAGATGCCTCTCTTTTTATCACGTCAGCAGACAGGTGGATTCATCTCGTCATTCTGATCATCCGCTTACTCTTTGCAGTAAAGAGTATTATACTCACAAAGCTACTCTACATCGGGGCATACCGACAATTATGTGGCAGAATACACAGTTGCATCAAAACTGCAACAGCAAGAGCTCTCTTCCATAATCATTGACGGGACAAGAAAAAGCATCGCAAGGAAATAAATAAACTGCTAAACTCAAATACTTTGGATTCATTTACCTCTGACGTTGAAAAGGATCTAAGATCAGAACGTTCCCCTTTGCACGTTTTGTTGGGAAACATCTGCAATTCAATAGCAGTCTAGGTACATCATTAGAAGTCCATACTTAATATTAATTTCATAATCCTTCGCAGAGCTGAGTGTGTCACTGTAGCGTCAGCAATCTAGAGCTTTAACTCACTCTATTTGGGTATAAGCCGCAAATTCTCACTTAGCCAGTTTGAAGCTGCTGGCCCAAACAAGAGCTCTACTCCATCGGCACTTCTGTTCAGAAAGCAACAACTGAGGCTTTGCAGAAGTCCGTTTATCCCCATATGTACACAGCTATGCCTACTTATCGTCACATTTGGCTTCGTCCTTGTGTGTACATATTACTAAATGAGTGGCACCACAGGGTGCCGTTGCAACGTGCTCTTGCCACGCCAGCTAGCCGGACCAAGTGCCTCTTGGCCTTGCCCCATGCATGCGTATGTAAATTAGAGTGGTTACAAATGCTAAGTGATGTTACATGCGCCTAGAAAAATATAATTATATTGTTATATTATTTTTATTTACATATATATATATATGCATAAACATATACAGTAGGAGACTAAGTAGTCCATGTCCTCAAATGAAAAACAATTCAAAAGTAAATAGAATTTGTTTATCAGAAGCTATCCACCATTAAGCATCATTTTTAATTTACTTCCAATTTTAGTCTCAAAGCGACATAAATAATTATGAAAATACCTCTGCTTCACGACTAACTAAAATTTTAACTATTTGCGATTTAGAAATAGCCAAAAGGTGTGAAATTTTAGAAAGAAATAGCATGAAAACGGGATGTTGTTTTGAAGAGCTATCCCTAAGGATGAACGCCACTTTAAATCGACTTTCGGGCATTAATAAAACTAAAATCTATAAAAAAGTTTTGAATACAGCTTCCACATTTTTCATAATGATAGCATAGTTCTTGAAACTATAAATAAATCTATCATCAAAGTTGTATTTTAGGCAAATGATTTACGGAACATGTTGGAAAAATCGTGGATTTTTATATTTTTCTGGCTTAAAATTGAAACTTTTGAATGGAAGTTTGCTATGTTTTACAAGAATATCGATTCTTTTGCTCTTTAAATTCATTTTGATTTTGACAAAACATGGCCTACGTTATTTGTTAATAATACAACCTAAAGCTAAAAGGAATGTTTTGAATACAGCTTCCACATTTTTCATAATGATAGCAAAGTTTTTTAAACTATAAATAAATCTATCATCAATGTTGTATTTTAGCAAAATGATATACGAAACATGCTGGAAGCAATGTTTTAAAACAAAATTTTTTTGATTTTTCATACTTTTCTGTTTGATATGTTTTAAAAGAATATATTGATTCGTTTGCTCTTTAAATTAATTTTGATTCAGACAACACATGTCCGACATCATTTGTGGGGCGTAATAGGTTCAATTTTCTGATCGCTTAAACAATTTCAGCGTTCTTGTATTCATTCCAGAGAAGCATAAACACTTTAATTCACCGACATGTGAGTCTATGTGTATTCATATCGGACAACAACTAAGGCCGGCGTGTGGCAACAGTCTAAGCAGGAATTATCACACGTCCAGTGGGTGGCCAACCGAAGGAGCGAAGGCTCTGACAAGAAGTGCTGTAACTCTGGGAGTTGCAGGCCCGGGGACGGGGATAGCTATGGGGTAAAGGGCAGAGGCAGAGACGGAGACGGAGGCAGGGGCAGGTGCCAGGTCACCGTCGATGAGCGGCCTTAGGACATAAGCGTGATTAAACCTCAAGCGAGTGACTTCCGTTGCAGGCAGCCAGGAATGCAGGCGGTCAGGCGGGCAGGCAAACAAATACATAGCAGGCCCAGTCCGAGGCGAACAATGGCCATGGTACATATGTATGTACATACATATGTAGGTAGGCATGTCCTTGCACGTGCATATGAATGCGTGTTTGCTTGCGCCTCTGGTCCATATCCTGTTTTGAGCCTTTTAATACCAGTTGGCAGAGCAGCAATCAGCGACAGTAAACAATATGGCTGACCAGCAACAAAAGCATCGACATCAGCAACAACAACAACAACAACCACCGATGTTGCAAATGATATTAATTATAACACACCCGCTCATATAAGGACGTATGTGTGCAGCCTTGCACAAAGGCAGGGGATAGGTTTTCATTTCTTGTCTTC